TTTTTGAAAGGGGTTTTTTTTTTTCCTTTTTTGGTTCAGGTCAATTGTTCAAAAGAAAAAATTGGGAGGTATTTTAAGGAGATGACACATTTGTTTTAATGTCTTGTGCTGTCAGATGAGAGTTCTGGAGAGTTCATATAGAGTGAAATTGAAATGTGGTGTTATGTTTTTATCAGTATTGTGATCCATTCTTGGAAATACAGTCATACAGAAACTATGTTGACYGTGACATGACTGTAACTCTCTTAAGATGTGTTCAGTAATCTGTATCCATAGAACAGTCTGCAAGTTTGCTGCATCAAGCACACCTCAAATTCATAGACTTTTCTGACAAGCTGATAAAATACCGTGTGAAATTGTAACTTGAATTACTCCTTTGTTTCTTTGGCATCCCTGCCATTATGCACATGACGCTTATTTGCACCATTGTTATGTTGCTGGTTTTGCTCAGGGAAGAAAAGCTGATGAGGAAGTGTCAGATATATGAGTTGTGTATAGCTTTTAATCTATTTTATGCAATGGGCTTAAGCTGTGTCTCTAAGTGCATCTTTACAGTACAAGTTGCGGTCATCCTTAAGATCTTTAGAAACAGTTCAAGAATTTGCTAGTATGTAGGCATCTCCAGTGGTAGGAGGTGACACTTACCAGCAGGTTCTTCTTTTTTTAAATCTGTGGAAGATGGTAATCATATGAAAGTAATCATGTTTTCCAGCATTGTAGGTGGGTGATTGTCAAGGTTTCCAGGCTGAGAAATATAACGTAGTAGAAACGATCATAACTGTTTTACACAGCTAAATAATAGTTTACACTCCAAGTAAGATGGAGATGAAAGATAAAGAAGTTTTTCTCTGGAAAAAAATGAAAAAATACATTTATTCACTGAACTAATCACAGTGGAGAGATTACTGTATTTAAAAGTGTTCTTTTTAAATGGGGAAGGCATTTTTCTTTGTCTAAGGTCTCTTCTGTTCTGTATCTTTTGCTCTTTTCTGGAAGAATATCTGTCCTCTTCCAGTAAGTGCTGCATTTATTAGCCATTTTCAAGCGAGCTGGCAAAGGGTTTATCTGCCTTAGAGATGATGAAGTTCTTTCCTGTTAGGGAAGAAGCAGCAGCTAGTTGGAGAGCAGGCTTCTCGGGGGCAGAAGCCGGTCTGCCGCTGAGTGCGCGTGCACCGGCTGCCGCGGGAGCAGGCGGTAGCTCCAGACTGCTCACAGCCTGCAGGCATCGTAGGGGAAACTGGGATAATGGCATTTGTGGGGATTTAGGAGACGGGGAATGCAAAGCCATGGAAAGCAAGTCTTGTTGGCTCCAGTTTTATAGGGTGTTATGTATATGTAAGCAGTATTGGAGGCTTGCTGTTGTTGGGTATAAACATTTTAATACGTTTTCTCTCTCTCTCTTTTGTAAACAGATACAAGAACATTCTTGGGATTAATACTGATCTAAATGCTTCTGAACTGAGGAAATGCTTTAGGATTGCTCTCCTGACAGAAGCTRTACAAAAATGATATACTGAAGGCTCTGCTTGCTCTTCTGGGAAGACTATAACTGCACTTTCATATTGCAGTTTGCTGCTCCGCAAAAGACAATGTAATAACGAAAATAACAGTAATTTATGTGACACTAGCAGGTTCCCTCCCATTGATTGGACATGAGTGATCAAAGGCCTTCGCAAGAAGATAAGCACAAAGTTAGCAGATCTTCCTCGAAGTTCAGGGAGTCTTCAAGAAGCATGCAGTCGGACGATTATTTTGCTAGAAAACTTAAAGCTTTGAATGGTAGCATGGGCCCTCCTGTTTCTTCGAGTGCACCTAGCAAACCTGAAAGCAATCAAGCAAATGGTACACCAGCTGTGCCTAAAATGGGGGTTCGAGCAAGGGTATCTGAGTGGCCTCCTAAAAAGGATTCCTCTAAGGAGCTGAGTAAAGCTGCGTGGGAAAGTAGACCTCAAACCAGTTATGAAGGTGTTGGAGCGATACTTCCTAACGGACAAACTGACCAAAGTGATGAGCAGCAAGAGGAGCTGGAGCTGGAGTTCACAGAGGGCAAATACACTATTGGAGATCTTTTTGTTCATTCCCCTCAAAGAGGACTTCATCCCATAAGGCAGAGGAGCAACAGTGATGTGACAATAAGTGACATTGATGCTGAGGATGTCTTAGATCAGAATGCTGTTAACCCGAATACTGGAGCAGCCCTCCACAGGGAATATGGCAGCACTTCTTCAATTGATAGACAGGGCTTGTCTGGAGAGAATTTTTTTGCAATGCTAAGAGGATATCGAGTGGAAAATTTTGAACATAAATCCCTTGCGCCGTTTGGATTTTCTGAGTTTTTCCACTGCGATCCCACAGTTTCTCCAAGTCTTCATGCTGCTGCGCAGATTTCCAGGGGAGAATTTGTCAGGATTTCTGGCTTGGATTATATGGATAGAGGCCTGCTTATTGGTCGAGACCGGGAAAAATCTTTTAAGAGAAGATTAAAATCAGAAACAGTAGAAACTTCTCTATTTAGAAAATTGCGAACGGTTAAAAGCGAGCATGAAACTTTTAAGTTTCCATCCGAGCTGGATGACAGGCTTGACAGAAACGTTCGTTCGTGGAACTGTCAGAGATGTTTTGCACATTACGATGTTCAGAGCGTTTTATTTAACATAAATGAAGCAATGGCTACCAGAGTAAATGTGGGAAAAAGAAAAAATATAACCACTGGGGCTTCAGCTGCATCCCAAACGCAGATGCCAGCAGGCCAAATGGGAAACTGTGAATCTCCTCTGGGGAGCAAAGAGGACCTCAATTCAAAAGAGAATTTAGATGCTGATGAGGGTGATGGGAAAAGCAATGATTTAGTATTGAGTTGCCCTTACTTCAGGAATGAAACTGGTGGGGAAGGAGATAGACGGATTGCACTTTCTAGAGCCAATTCAGCATCTTTTTCCTCGGGTGAAAGCTGTTCTTTTGAGTCGTCTTTAAGTTCCCATTGTACAAATGCTGGTGTTTCAGTGCTGGAAGTGCCAAGAGAAAATCAGTCAATCCACAGGGAGAAAGTGAAGCGTTACATCATAGAGCACATCGACCTCGGCGCGTATTACTACCGCAAGTTCTTCTATGGAAAAGGTAAACACCTCTCATGCAACTGTTCCCAATTAGGCCTGCATTAGAATTAACTTGCTTATTAAAGATTTTTTTTCTTCATTATAGAAAAACAAGTAATATTGAGGCTTTTAGGACACTTTCTGAAAGTTAAGACTTTCAATATCCTCCTGGAAGAGCTGCATTTAGCAACCAGTAGGTTGTAAAGCTCTGCAATGCCTGCATAAAGTAACTCAACATGGGGTAATTTAATATAGAAAGTAATTAATTCCTCTGTACCAACCTTTTGCAGAGAGCAGAGGAGAAGGAAGGTATTTGCATGTAGTAAATGTACTGTGCATAGTGATACCTATGTGATACCTAGTGATTGGCTATCAATATTTCCTAAAATAAATCTCCAAAAGAGGGCTTCTGAGTCACTTATTCCAGATTTTACTGTCTTCCAGTGTCTGTTGGAACCTTATATACTATACACACACGTGTGTACTTCCGTCAGCACCTTAAACAGAGAGCTTCAGATGATCCTTTTTATTTTTTCAGCTTACAGAAGGAGGATTTCTTTCCTTCTCATATAAGCTGTTTGTCTTTTAGTTTAGGACAGTCATGCTGCAAAGTAAAGGGTATTCATCACAGCAGAGTAAACTAACTTACTTTGAATCCTATTTAAATAAGCAATTAGCATGTTGTGGTTTGCTTTGGCAGGGTGTAATCTCTACTTTTTGTGGCTAGGGAGAGACCCTAAATACTTATCTCTAGCCTTTCTGTATTATGAGTTGCAGCTTAGTATTTTTCTTTTATTATTATTATTGTTATTGTTATTATTATTATTTTACTCTGTTCTTAAAAGCCTGTTTGATATTGTCTCAGTATCAAAAAGATTGTTTGATGCTTCCTTAGATCATATATCTCTGCTTTCTAACCCTATGTGAATAGCAGGAAATAGGGCAGTAAGCTCTGCACTGTGCTCCTTCCTCCTGTAACACTTTGCAAGGGAATCGAAAGAAGCCAGTGCAGTGCTCGTCTTCACCATACTGTGCAAACCTAGAATAAAAAGGTGATAAAACCAGTATTTAAAAGAGAAGGAAGAAAGAATCTGCGTTCGTGATGGAGGAAAACATGTTTAAGCAAGGATGGGCAGTAAAATCAAAGGCTCAAAATATTTCTTAAGCTCAAAAATTTGTAAGTGATCAGCAAGTGCTGGTGGAGTCTAGGTGGAAGCAAAGGAAAGTTTGTGACACAGAGGAGCCCTATGGCCTGAGAAAGGAAAGGATTGGCTTACATCTAAGTGAAGGGAAAGTCGTCAGTGGACAACGGTGGTGGTACAGAAGAAGAACAGAGGACAAGGATTAAACGAAGTAAAAGATAACTTGTTTGTGAAATCCTTTTAGAATGGATAAGTTACCAGGGCTCAGAAGGGTTGAGTGTTATTTTGTGATTAAAAAAACCTTGTAGGAGATGAAACATGTGAAAGAACATAACACATAAATGACTTTAGTGTACTATAAATAGACCTCAAGACTCTTCTGGAATGCTGATACAAATATAATTTTGTTTTTATGTTATGTATATATTATCTCCTAAATAGAAATAATACTTAGGTTAAGATAGAATTAGAAACATAAAAAATGTTATCTGAAATTTATCCAGTATAGTGAAATCCTGGGAAATTTGAACTGTTATTGTCCATGTTATCAGTGGTTCTGTAGGTAGAGCTTTTCAAGAGTAATCACCATTTTTGACACACAATGTTCTGTAATGAATAGTCTCTCCTTTACAATGAAATGTTAAAGACGATTCCTTTTCACGTTATCTTCCAAGAGAATTGTAACAGAAACTACATGAAAGAAAGCTGCTTTGGATGGACCTTAGGAGGGGAATGACAAGTTAGGCAAATGTGTTGATAGAATCAAGTAGCTAATTTTCATATCTATTACCAAAAGGAATAAAGCACACAGGGAATCTCCGGGTTACTTCCAACTGAACACAGCTCTCGTCCAAGCAAAATTTGTTTTGGGTAAAGAAGAGCAAATGGGCATTTTGCCTTGGGCACTAAAATGTCCTGCTGCAGTGCTGATCTCGTGTGTAAGAAAGAGACACTTAAATCCCCACTGAATCTTACTTGATGCTCTTCCATGACTGTGAAATCTCCTAGCTGACTATTCATTGAATTGTAGATTTAATAGCACAGTTGAATTTAGCAATATAATCATGGAATGATGAAATAAAAATTTAACAAACAATAGTCACTTGTTTACAAAGGCATGTGCAATGCCACTGGTTTTTCTTTGCCTCTGACACACGATCTGCAAAAGAGGAATAACTTCCTTCATATTTGATTTAGTTCACAGTTGTATAATTGACACTTGTCAATGTACAAGCTTTATTTCTGTTTTAAGATGCATGGAAGAAACACCCTGGCATATGCAACACTAATTATTCCCTTGCCTTTCAAGAAATGAGAGATTTGGAATTCAGCATCTTCAGAAATGAGCTGCAGTTTTTTAACTGCATATTTATAAGCTCTGTAACTATTGTTAAAATCAAATCCAACATGACTGATGTAAAATATGTTAATGTTTATGGAAAATGCCTTCTCAGCTTTCACTTAAGGCTTGCAGAAGCTGGAATGTTTTATTTTATCTCATGCTTTAGATATATTAGCATTATCCTTTCCTGAATTATGATTTTGTGAGGAAAAAAGAAGGTGGGAGGGGAAGAAGGATATGTTAATTTTTAGAAGCATAATTGAAACAAGTTTTTATTATCATTGAGTTGTCATTGCCCTTTTGCAGTTGTCCTTATAACACTCAAGACTCACTGTGAATATCATGCATTTTATTTCTAGGATGCCAGCAACCACTTCTTAATATGTTACTGTATCTTTCTGCTGGTACGAGACTGAAGAAATGCATTGAAAAGAATTTACAGGATTAGCAGGCTCATAATATTAGCTCAGTTTGTATTCTGCAGCTTTGAGTCAGTCTCTTTTCCTTGCAGGTTGAATCCTGCAAATAGATTTTCCCAGAATAAGTAAAACCTTTTATTAGGAGGTCTTCCCTCCCTAGGAGGAGAGGTGTCCATTATTCCTCAAAACTAAAACGTTTAAAATGCGAAATATTTTATTATCTGTCTTTAAAGGATTAGAAAATGGCTTATTTTCCTCTTTTCTCCAATTCCTATTTTTAAATCAATGTAAATACATCTAAATGAACTTAATTATCTTGTACTTCGACATTTAAAAATACATTGAGTTAAAAACCTTTTCTCCAAATCCTGGAGTATCGGCAGCCTTTTGTTTTTCATTTATTTTAGCTTCTTTTAGTTTACTTCAGAATCCCTTTCTTGAAACTGACTGGCCAAATGTATTTTTAATATCCATTAGTAGCTTCTTTGGACTTGTAGCTCTCATGCCCAGCAAAGTTAGGAATCTAGGTGCTTGAAGCTATCCTTCTGGTAATGCTGTAGCCGAGAAATCCAGTAACTGTTCCTAGACTTGCATCCAAATGGAGGGTCTTTCTGAACAGCCCTACCCTCCAAAGAATCAACAGTCCTCCAAGAATTTGGTCTTTTACATGAGCTTGCTGAGGATTCATCCCACCTCATTGTTTGGGTGAATATTAAGGACTACCACACACTCTATCAACTTTTGATGAACCCTTTAGTAACTGGCTACTAATGAGAATTTGTTTCCACCACTCACACTCCTGTGAGGCCAGTTGTTCAGCCAGTTTATATCCACCTTGGAATCTGTGTGTCCAAACTAAAGCTTTTCAGTTTAGGTTCAATGATACTATGGAAGACTGTGTCAAGCAGGTGACATTGCTTCCTCATCCACAAGCCAGGCATCTCCTTATGGAAAGCAATTGGATTTACCAGGTATTTGGTAAATCAGTGCAGGCTCTCTTCCCTGCACATCTATTTTTCCTTCATGTGTCTGGAAATGTCTTCCATTCCCTTGCATGGGGACTAAGGCATGGAATGGGACTAGTCTTTAGCTTCCCATTTTTTTTTCTTGAACTGCTTAAAGATGGATGCAGTATTTGCCTTTTTTTCTGTCAYTAGAGGCATTTGCCAGTCACTAGCATCTTTCAGAGATGTTGAAGAGTGACCTAATGATGGCACTGGCCATTTTCTTCAGCAACCTTGGATTTATCCTGTCTGATCCCATGAGCTCGAGTATATCCAGGCTGCTTCATCTTTCTCTTCTGTAGGTAATACTTCCCTTCCCCCAGGCTAGGCTCAAGGACCAACCTAACGACCCATCGGAGAGTGAAGATTTCTATCCTTAGTTGTCAAAGTTGACATGCTGCATGAAATATTAACGCTTTGAGTGAGAATAAGAATAAACTGAATGAAAAAGAAACTAACCCTTCRCAATTCCTAATTTATTTGACGACTCTTAAATACTGCAGCTAGATATTTTTTTCTGAACTATTTTTCCATTGCATAGGAGAAAAGATGATTATTGCATAGTAGCAGTTTTTAAGAAGTTTAGAAGTTACGAGTTATGTGATACAACTGACCATCTGGATCTCATCAAAATTAGCATTTTGTGATTTCCACGCTTACCTTGCGGTAATGAAGATCAGAAATTGGTGTATTAACAGAGTCAGAGCTCAATTAGAGAATTTGAGGGGTTTAATCAAACAATTCAAACGCTTAAAAGCTGTTMTATGATCCATAGAAACGAAGCTAATACTTTCCTTCTCATGGCAGAATTTTCTGATGAGTTTTGATGAACATTACCTACGAGACTTATACTTCATTTTTATTTTTTTTCTGTTCATTACTTCTGTTTTGCAAAAGAGCACCAGAACTACTTTGGAATAGATGAAAGTCTTGGACCTGTAGCAGTCAGCATCCGAAGGGAAAAAGTTGAAGACTTAAAGGAGAAAGAAGGCTCTCAATTCAACTATCGAATAGTTTTCAGGACAAGTGAGGTAAAGTTCTTTGATTCATTGTGCAAAGGAATGGGAAAGATAAAACTTAGGGTAATAGTTGTTACTCCTTTCATTTGTCKGTAGGTAGATTATTAACTTTGAAAGGAGATCTGTGAATGGGAAGGRGATATTTATTATACCTTTAATAAATGTAACTGACTCCTGGAACACAATTTCTTTCTTTTCTACTACATATCATTATTTTCTTTTTGTATGGACTCCCCAAAAGGGGTAAGTTAAATAAATATATATGAATATTTGCAAAGATCAAGCAAAGAAATCGATGATGATAAACAAAGCTGAAGGCAAGTCTGGATCTAGATCCTTTATGTTTCTTGTCATAGAAATGAAAGATTAAGAAATTCAGGAGGGGGAAATAAAGGAACAGAGAAATATGAAAGCTAGTACTGCCACTTAAGTAAATATACATGTGTTTGATTTCCAGATACTCTTTGTTAGAACTTATATTTTCTGTAAGAAATTCCTTTTTTGTATACTTCTTTCGTGCATACATAAATTGYGAAGGAAATGTTAATATATAATGTATTAATAAATAAATGCTGAAAGAATACTTTCCAAGCCTGACTGCAATTTCTATTTCAGGTCAATTTGTATCCTTTGTAGAAGTAATTTCTTCTTCTTAATCTAGCAATTAACTTTTGTTTGTGTGYAAATATACAATGCTACTATTGTAGCAAGCAAATATAAGCTTTCACAATCTATTGAACTTCTGTTTTCCGTTGTGATTAGGAGGCACAGAAGTATTAGTCAGACTTTCTGATATATCTGGGCTTATGTGTTTTTAATAAACATAGGTATTCATAGATTTTGCAGGCTAGATTTTTGTTCATTACCCCCAAAACAGTATGTACATATGTATGTATCTGGGGAGTGGAGATTCACTTGGCTAAGCAGCATTTGCCTTGTTGCAGAATCCAGTGAGGATAAAGCATTGTGGCTTATAAGAGTCTATGAACAGGATAAATAATGTTGCTGTTAGCTGTGCTTTGGTTCACCTCACCTACAGACTTCTGTGTCTRCTAGGGTAACGTGACATTGTAACGAACACTTGTGATTTATCCCAGTTCCTATTTTTTTCTCCAAAAAACAAAGTCTTAGAAATTAGAATAAATTAAGATGATTATCAGTTATTTTATTAAACAAAAATTGTACTTGTCACTGAGAAAGTAAGAGCCTGTATTCTTTGTCTATAAGTTATTTGTTAATCCTTATTCAGGCTTCAAAAATGATATTTTACTTCCCACTTGTTCTCCCTTTTTCATAGTCTGAAGAGCATAACTTTAAAAGTCATCATTGTATTAGAATTAAGACTGTTTTATATGGCTTATCTTTCCKACAGCTTACTACCCTTAGAGGAGCAATTTTGGAAGACGCTATACCATCCACGGCTAGGCACGGCACAGCGAGAGGCCTRCCCCTCAAAGAGGTGCTGGAATATGTAATACCAGAGCTGAGCATTCAGTGCCTGAGGCAGGCATCCAACTCACCCAAAGTCCCTGAACAGCTGCTTAAACTGGATGAACAAGGGGTATGTAGCACACCATTCTTCTCAAAGGCTGGTAACTTAAAAGATTGCATTTTAAAAAATATTTTTAAATATTTAAATATTTTTGCCAATGGTATTAATAACATGAATCTGTGATATGAACTGGTCACTTCCTTGATCTTGGAGATACTTGCTCTCAKCTGCGCATTCTCATTAACAAAGTGAGGTTTCTTTTCAGCGTTGCAGTGTGTAATGATATTATGGTTATACAAATGAACTTCTTTTTCTTTAGTTGTATTCAGAAATTATAATCTAATCTAATTAGAGTCTGATTCTGTGCAAACTGGTTTTTAAAATACATAGAAATTTATGGAAAAAAAGGAGATCGGCATATAAAGATTCTCTTTAGACCACAGAATGAGAGAAAGGTTATAATGAATCTTATAAGTATGAAGTATGTAAGTATATAAGTATGAAGTATACCCTTAGAAGTATGTTTTACAATTTATATTTGCCCTTTTATGTGGTGAGATACTGAATGCAAATTAAAAAAAGTAATGTATTTTCATATTGGTGTTAGGGAGAAGAGGCAAAATCCTGAGTATATGATGGGTTAAGTCTGTACATTTAAAGTTTTACAGCTTCACCCTCCCCCCTTAGTGTATTGACACCTTCTAGTTTACCTGAAGCAGTCTTTATTAATTGACTGGAATGCTGAAATTCTAATTGGGGCTACCTACTGAGTTGACGCTGCATCAGCAATGAAACAGATTAATATACTTTTAAATTCAGAGAGAAAAACGGTGAGGTCTACTGGGTGCTGAGACATGAAACTGCCTCATGGCAATACTAGCAAGAAAGTATACAGCTTGCTAACAGTTTGTGAAGGACAGGCACGTGAAGGCTTTTAATACACATTTAAAGAACATTTTTTAAAAGTGACTAATTTCAGGGAAATAGTGTTACTTATACAGAAGTCAGTATTTATGTGTTGGAAGTTGAATCAACTTGATAGATGCAGCTGGTTAGAAGGGTGGTGTAATTATTTTGTCACCTAATTAAGTTTCAAATGCAGGATTGTGTCTAACATCTTGGTGTCTACCAGAATTCCTCTGTCTTACTGCAGCATTTGCTTCAAACCAAGTAAACATAGATAAAGACAGAGAAACAGAGGGTTGTTTTGTTTTTTTGGCATGGTGGGGTGCACTGTCAACTAGTTTTGTGTGGATATTTTATTCCTTTCATTCATTGCAGTCTTTGAGGAGCACTTTACTTTTGATTGAATTTCTTCTTGCATGAAATTTCAATTAAGTTGCAAAATACTGCTCTGTTTGTAGGTGTTTTTCCTGYGTTCCTAAGTGTTTCTGATAAAATAATAAGGGGAAATTAGGTCAATCTTGAATCTAAGAGTTCCTCATCTCCTGTCTGAGCTGCTCCAGATTGAATTGAAGTTCATTTAATAAATAATAATAAATTCTTATTGGGATATTATGTTCTAGGCAATTTAGAGCACATTRTTTGACCTGAATGTACTATTTGCCCTTAGCTGGAAATTGATTTTGTCCATTGAGCTGACCAAAGTAATTTTTTTTTTTTAATTATTAATTTAAATCTTAATTTTGAGAAACAGCAGTGCATAGCTCTTTATTTTGGGGGTTATCACCAGTTAAAATACAACATTAATGTATGGTATGTGCTGCTTATTATGAGATAATTACTTGAACATAGAAAGGTGTGCATAGATTTGACATGCAATCCATTTATGCTTTTAATTCCCTTGCAGTGGGAGATTTCTGCTAACAGCAGATTTATTCTGTGTGTGTTTTTGGGCCCCCTTATATCCTTCTGGGACTGTTGCTGCTTTCTTGTCAACCTTTGAAGTTGACAAGTAGCCAAAGAAGTTAGGAGCTTTGATTGCAATCATATTTAGTGTTGGTTGAGCATCTAATTTCCTGAAATTCGTTACCAGAAAATCTCAAAAATCTGCATGTGATAAAAATCATGAAATTTTTATATACTTTATACTTTAAAAGAAGCAGAAAAGCTGCCAAGATTTAGTAGAGAATGATCCTGACTAGAACGTAGCCATTCTGAGTCAGGAAAGACTGCTACGTACTTTTAATACAAATCATATAGCTAGTAAATCAGTGGTTTAGAAAATAGTTTCTAGTGTCACATTAGAAAGTTATTCTCAGATTAGATGTAAAATTCCTAATTTAGAAATCATTAAATCAGAAATATGCCTGAAATTATTTGCTTCGGAAGATTTGGGGCAAACATAAAATGCAATTTGAAAACTCACAAAGTTTATTCATTTAAAATTATCTGTCAGTTTTTACGCAGGTTAAATRCCCTGTAAAAATGCTGGCTAAATTCATATAGATACTTCTTATGTCCTAAGTTCTAAAGGTACCTCCACGACTCCTGCACATGCCTGTGCTGATGGCACAGGCTATTTCTGTGACCTAGAGCCAAATGTTCTGCTCCTTAAGTCTTCCAAGAGGCGTGGATGTTCCTAATACACTAGCAAGGGATTAAGATTATTGCAGCTATTTGCAGCTGCTGCCATGTTCAGGAGTGCTATTAGTAGAATCTACATCGTGTGCAGTTCCGTGTAAACATGTAGAAGTGTTTATAGTATTTGTCTGTGAAATGAGAATCCAGGATTAACCCCTTCCTCAGTTTGGGAAGTTTCAGATCTTTTCTGTTTCCTAGGACAGTGTTTTAACCATGAGATAATATTGTATTGGGTGATATATATTCCATTTCTGCTTCAAACTTTACTGAAATTCAGGAGCTAATTCAGGATTCATTGGTCTCCCAGGAAAGGATGAAGGAAAGTGACTGCATGTTTTGACATTGACTATTTTGCCCATGTGATTTGCTAACTTGCCATTCATTCATACTGATGGAGTGTGAAATGATCTGTCCTTTCTCACTTCCTTCTGTTACTGAGCTAGATGATCAAATCGTTCTGAGTTAACTTGAGTCATTGGACTCCCAGTTCCCTAGGGCAAGTTGGAGACCATTTTTTGTGTAGCATGACTAGATTATTAGATATGATGCTGGTAGTCGTTGCTCTAGCCGTTGGTGGCTCAGCAGTTCACTTCTCCTGTGCCTTATTGTGGGATGTTGTGTTAATGTCAAGGAAATTAACTTAAACAGCTAATGGATTAAGCCAAACTGTTTGACTCTGAGCTGGAACAGAAGTGTCAGTGCCATAACCAGTCTGTGTGTCTGCTGGGAAACCTCAACTAACACGACCATGCCCTATAACCTAATGTTGATATAAGCAGTTCTCTTCCAGTGTGCTCCATGAATTGTCCATGCCAGTTTTCCCCTGAATAGAATAGTCTCCAGTGGAACCTTTTGCGAGATAGCCCTACCTCTCCCAGGGCTTTGAAATGGGGACCAAAACTAGCAAGTGGGCTGCATGAAGCATGTCTAGTGCCAGCTAATAGGAAATACCAAGAACCACTGGTGTCCTCATGCTGTTCTCCTCCAGCATTTAGAGATCTAACCTGGCACCTCCTACTGTGAACTGCGTGTAATAGGGATCTCAGCTGTTTGAAAGAACTGTCACTGGAAGTTTTGGGTGCCCAAATCCTGTACTGAATCTGTATATACTTACATAGGAAAAATGATTGATTTTCTGTTGAAATACCCATCTCTTTGCATTGGATGTGTATTGTTCTTTCTGTCCTCATAAATGAATTTGTGGAGCAATTTGAATTACACATGATAAAGGACCTGCACATAATATGTTCTGRCAGACGTCATGTAAATTTATGACTTGGATAAAGGAAAGAGAGAACAAGGACAAGGCAGTAGTTGAGCTGTACAGAACATCAGAAAACTCAGGTTGAGAAAAAGTTACATATGCTCTAACCACAGCAATGTTTGAATGAAAGCTGACAGATTGTCAGAAACTAGATAGCTTTGCTACAGGAAACTRTTATAAGGAGCTACCTGTTCTGTGTAACAGTGTTTAGAAATTTCACTACAAGCCAGGGCTAACTTTGATTGAAATGTATCTTCAAACCATTCTGCTCCTCCGGGATGTGGGTGTTTTTGTTTGTTTTGTCTCTTGGCAGCTGTCTTGCATGCCACACTATTTTTACAGGGAAGAAATGTACAAGTGAGAAGRTGGGAAAATAAAACATTATTTGAATTTCGGTATTATGTTTGTGATACTTCTTTCTTCCGTGTATGGGTTTTTTTAAGACTAGACCTTTCAGTGTTCCCAACTTGCAGCCTTTGCTAGATATTGCTGTAATAAACATCAATGCAATACCATAAGTCTGAGTTTTGCAATGTGCAGACCTTGTTTTATGTGTCTAAGGAGAAGCGGACTGTTCTTGTCACCTTTGGTCCAGTACAAGTGGTATATGTACAGTCTTCTCTTGGGACATTTTAGGCACTAATCTTGAAGTTTGATTAAGAGAAGAGTGTACAACTGGAGAATTGATTTGAGTTGTGTATGTAGTCCTAAGGGGATCTGATACTGCTGATGGTCTCTGCCAGTTTGTGAAGCTCTAACATTTGGCAGTAAGAATAAAAGGACTAATCTGTTGACATGAAGGTTTCCTGTTTGTCATTGCAAATGTGTATAAAAGCTATGAAAATAAGACAATATCCTGGTCCAGATATAATCATCTCTTTTTTTCTTGTACTAATATTTTAGATTTGACTTTAATACATTTAACAACACTATTCAATGTGATACCTAGTTTAAAGTTTACTGCATGTTGGTCAGATTGTGTTTACGTGATAAAAGCTTTGAAAATGTAGAATAATTTTTTTAAGAAGACAGTTTTATGGAAGGAGAAAAGAAAAGATTTACTTGTGCGTATAAGAAATGGGTGTTGTGAGAGTTTGTTCATAGTGACTTTTGAAAGGGAAGCCTTCTCAGTGGCTCCTCTTAGAGAACTGGAAAGGTTATTGGGTGACGGCAAGGAACTTCACATGCAGGAACTGTCTGGCTGAATTTTAAAAGCAGAAATGAGGGAGAATAAACTCCACACCCTGATTGGTATCTGAGAGAGAAGACTAGGATAATTACCACTTAAAGTTCTCACACTATGGAACATGCACTAGGGCGTATTTCTATAAATAGCTGGTTAAGTCTTCATTGACTGTTCTTGTGTTTGGATCATGACAATCCATTTTTCTTTCAAAATAATTTACTTTGCTGTTTGTTGTGACTTATTTCTTGAATCACAGAACTTTTTCTATCATTCTCATTTTACTCCTGGCAGGCATTGTAATAGTGTTAGTAATTAATATTTGTTTTAGAATCTGCTTTCTTTTCCTTCTGTAATTTTTYTTGCTTTCTTTTTTCTTTATTTCAGCTGAGTTTTCAACACAAGATTGGTATCCTTTACTGCAAAGCTGGTCAAAGCACAGAGGAAGAAATGTATAACAATGAGATGGCAGGGCCAGCGTTTGAAGAGTTTCTTGATCTCCTGGGCCAGAGAGTACGGCTAAAAGGGTTTACTAAATACAGAGCTCAGCTAGATAATAAAAGTAAGTGGTGTTTCTGATCCRTGGTAGTAACTAATTCTCCACTGGAAAGTATCTTCTGCAAATTGTACTTTGTATTCTTATGCTGACTTTGGGATCACAGGCTAGATGAAGTAGTAGTACTTGATAAGAACAGTATGTACATCACAAATATCTGAAAGTTTAGTTTTCCTGTCACAGAAAAAAAATCCGAAGACTTCAAAACTTACTTCATTTTCTTTTTCTTAGTTAAGYGCTATGAAGTATGTAATTCCTGATTTATCCAATAATTTATGTGAGAATCATTTGTTTATTCAAGAAAAAAAATCAAGATCATGGAGAATTTTGCAGCTAGGTTTTACTCTTTTATCTTTAACAAGACATTGAAAAATGCAGTTGTAAGATGGGGCCATTTTCCTTATTCTTCTTGGACTTCAGTATTTCTGCCAATGARCACATACCTTACTGTTTATGTTTGAGGAAGAATCAAGATTCGAGTGGCACATTACATCTGTTACCATTCTGCAGTTAACAAACAGTAATCTATGTATCTTTTGTGTTCTGTCTTTTCAGAATAGGGCAATAGATATTACGCAGATTGCGGCAGAGCAATTAGTACATTACTAATTTGATTCATTCTTTTAGCTTAATGTGATGTTAACAAAATTTTGACAATCATTATGAGACATGGTCTGGAGATATCATCTACTCATCTATTTTATTCTAACATACTGTTTGAGTCATATGCTCATTTTTTTCCTGTAGCCTGTCAATTACAGTCTGAAAATTAATTTTTTGTGTGTGTACTTTATGTGTTTAAGTATTACAAAACTGGAATATTTTCATTAGCCAATATTTTCATTAGCCAACTTCTTCAGTTACTAGATCCTGTTATTTGTGTTTATACTCTATTTGCCCCTCTAAGCAAGCGGGAAGGTTACTTGAACTGCTAGAAATAGGCTGTCAAGACAGAAACTTAGACCTACAGAAAGGGAATTAAGTGAAGATCTTCTTTTCTTGCAGTGCATGTTTGCCTTCCGGCTAGTCAGAGAGATGCAGGAATAGATAGGCCCTATTTTCTTCTGCTTCTCCATTCCTCCTGCCACTTACCTGTTGTTGTAGTGTCGTTCTTAGGACCATTTTACAAGTTTTGCTGCTTCATCATCAGTCTTAACTGGAATGCATATGCATTTCTTGTTTTTGCTTTACTGTTATGGAATCAAACTGGTAGTATCCTTGATGGTATGTCGTCTGGTACTAAAATGTCCAGATACAATACAATGTACTGGTAGTATCCTTGATGGTATGTCGTCTGGTACTAAAATGTCCAGATACAATACAATGTCCAGATCAGGTACAATATTAAAAAAAAAAAAAAAAAAAAAAAAACCCACACACAAACAAAAACCTATAAACTGAAAGATAGTTGTACTAAAAAAAAAAAARAAARAMAAAAAATGTGTCAGCAGTTGCTTATTAGAGCATCTTTTATTTTAGAATATTTCACCTTGCTTAATTTAAATGCCTAAATTCTGCAAGAAAAGCTTGCTACTTCACTTCCAAAGTCAAGGTGATAAATCAAAAGTAGTCAGCTAAGTAGAATGTTGCATTCAGAAAGAATTCRTTTAAGAAGAAGGCTGGCTTTCTGTAATAAGTATGTAAAGGGTCTATTTTGTGCAGTAACTGTTTGAGATAGTTTATTTACTTAATAAAGCTTTATTTAATATCTGTTTTCAAAAGGATCCAAGGACTAGAATTCGCAAGATGAATGTGGTTTAGACAAGTAGTTGTATTACCTAATATAAGTGTTTTTCCCTTCTAAGTTAAGTCACTTAGRTCCTAGTCTCACAGATAGGAAGCACGTTGGGCAATTTATTGCCACAACTGTCTATGTTACAATACAAAACTAATGAGTATTTGTTTAGCTGATACAATATATTGCAGACTTGTTGAAAAAAAAACTGCTTTTCTTAGATTTAAAACTATTTCTATTTTTGCATAGYATGCAAAGAGTGGAATCCTAAGAAGTAATATGAATGTTCTATTTCACTGACCACCTTCTTGCAATTTAATTCATTTTCAGCTGATTCAACGGGAACTCATTCCCTCTATACTACCTATAAAGATTATGAGTTAATGTTTCATGTATCAACAATGCTTCCATATATGCCCAATAATAGGCAACAGGTATGTATTTACCTTTACCATTTTCATAGTAGTTTTACCTTATAAATATTTGTAATACTGATAAAAGTAATGCAGATATAACACTGAGATTGTTTTATATAAACTATGACTATTAATAGGAATTATTTGTTGAAAAACATAAGGTATTAAAATGCTCATAGGATTTTTTAGACACATCTTTGAAATTCAAGAACTTATCTCCTCCATTTCATATTATTAAACATTATTGATGTGTGTGGTGAATGAAGTATCTTTAATTTGAACTGGATTTAAATCCTTGGTACATTTTAAATATTGAATGTAGACTTAATGGTTAAAATATATGGGTAATAAGATTTTAAAATGATTCCACATAATTGTCCTCTTTCACACCTTGACATTTTTATTAATGTACTAGCACAGTAATATATGTCTAACTGTATCCTTCAAGGTACCTGCTTGTGAAGACAGAAAACTACAGTGTACTTATTWCTGGAAAATTCACTTTATTTATGTAATAGCTCAGGATATCTTTAAAGCATTAAGGATGGCTAAAAAACAGCACAGCATCCAAAGTGTGCAGAACACCAGTAAGGTTACTCTGACTTTGCCTGTCTCAGTTCTTCTGACTGAATTAAAAAGAACAAGCACATTTGGTATAATATATCAAAATTAGCACTTAATAAGGTAAAGGATAGAGGTACTCATAGATCAGACTGAAGATGAGTCTGTAACTTTCTACCTTTACTGCTCTGTATTTTTCTGTTTCTGCAGAAATAAGCATTAAACGAATTCCTAAGAATATCCTCTCACTGCAGTGTAAGATGCAAAGATTTCTTTAATCATATTGGAGGACTGTCATGAAATAAAGATGCTCCCTGATGTTGTTTATGAGCAGCATACCAAATTTGTGACTAGTGATTGTTAAACTGTCTGTGATTTGCCTCTACCTTATCAGTAGGTCTTGTGGGAAGAAAAAAGTGATGTGTCAAGGCAGCAACAAAAGATGAAGCAAACAATTAAAATTCCTGACAAAGGATAAATGAAAACTGAAATGGAAGAATGTATATAGYATATTTATGCATTTTAAATAGTTAGTGCATGATGCTCTAAAGTGCTTGAAGAACTGTTCCAACTGAGCGGTTAAGATAACTGCAAAGTTTAAAGCCATTACATGTCGGCTTAAGATGAGGTTTAAAGAAACTATGATAGGAATCAAAAGGCGGAAATCCTTCACAGTATGAAGACTATGAATATTCTCACTAATCATATGCCTTAAAATGTATATGRCCTTCAGAGGAGATGTTCAGCTTTATCTCACAGTAGACTGTGCTGACATCTAGTAATCAAGATACGGGATTGTTTTCACAAATTTGAAATAGTTTTGTTTCCCTGAACTTTCACTTCTGCCTTATTAGTTTACCAGATGAATTTATTAAACACACTAAGAGTTGCTCTGCTTAATAATCAGTCAGAATGCTTTAGGTATTAGTTTAAAAGAGTATTTTATTTTGATTTACATACAAAAAATAATTTGTTTTTATACATACTTGAAAAATGTTTCAGGTGTTCTTGAGATGTGGTACTCTGAAAACAAATTTGGTTGCTGAGTTTCTGAAATCACATGAGATTGCTAAAGCATTATGTTTTAAATCAGTTGTAATTTGCATATTTATCTGAAGACCTTTACAAGTTTGCAAGGCACAGATGCAGAAAGCATTGCAGTAGTAGAATATTTCTGAATATACTGATTTTTGACAGGTAAACATACAAATAGGGAAAACAGTATCCCGTTAAGATATAATACACTGAATGAGCTTGCCTTATCATGAAATATAAATGTTTTTATAGCTAATCACAGGCACTGACAGTAAATATGACCTTACATAGAGTGTATTACCTTTGTCATTGTCTTCCGTAACTTCTCTTTAGTTGTGGGAATAGGATGTCCTCTTGCTGTGGTTCACTAATTCTTGTAAATGGTTGCTGTTTGTCTCCTTCACTGCTGTGTTGCTCAACCATTCCTTATTATGGTCTTRCATCTTTGCTGTCCTTTCATTCTTCTCATTTCCTTATGCATCATTTTGTATAGACCACTATCAAGCCTTATAATTGCAAAATCTTCCGATGCTAATTCCATGATTTTGCTCAGCAACAAACACTCTTTTCAGCAGTATTTTAGTAGACCCTCATCAGCCCTTGTCTGATTAGCAGTTTAAGTAAGAGAATCACATTGTGATTCATGACTTTCTTGGGATCAAAATAACATGGCAGTTCTCTAAGCTGAAGCAGCATGCCTATCTGAAGACCCACCATATTATTTTTAAATGCTGGTATCCAGCCATATTTGCACAGCATGGACACTGTTAATGAAGTGTGACAAGCACACCCCAATGACTAGAATTTAGCCAGCCTTAATGTGCAATAATCATTGTTTAATTTTCTTCTACTACTATTTAGTTCCAAAATACATACTGGAATATGAAATGTAGCAACAGTGTTATTTCTCAGAAGCTAGGATAAAATGGATTAGGTCTTTTTCAATGAGACTGTATAAATATTGAAGAGCAGAGATGCAGTTGCTCACATCCTCAGCACAGAGAGCCATGGAATATGAATATTGTTTGTCTCTGAAGAATTTGGCTCAGTAACTCCATGTACACAAATTAGGGCAACTTAGAGGCCAAAATGATTTTCCTTTTAGATTCTATTAGCAACAAAGATCCCCATATCAATAGCTTCTTTTTTGCTGGCATATTGTGTGTGTACTGAAAGTGAAGTTATTGCATCCTATCCCTGTGTCATTCCTTTATGGGGCAAGATGTTTAGCTAATCTTCATCATGTAGGTTCAAGACCTTCAATGAGCAAGCACCAAGCCTTTCTTAAATTCCAGATACCTGTGAGCCAAAAATAGGCCACACTAGAATTATTTATTGCTTCTTCCAGGATTTAACTACGCCCTGCTTGGTCACTGATCAGGACATTCCTCTAGTTTTAGAGCCAGCAGGAGATCCCAAGAGCAAGGTAATTTTCACTTTGGCTACAACACAGGCTGGGAACTTCCAAACCAGCTGTTCCTTCCTTAGGAGAGAAAGCACGACCAGCCCTGGTGTGGCCATCCTTCTCCTTTTCTCGGAGAAGCCTTTTCTTGAAATCCTAGTTTAAGGTCTTCCCTTTAAACTTTGCCTTTTCCAAAGTCCCTTTCCAAATCATTCCCTTGCAAGTTTTCCATTCATGCATTTGCAGTCTGCTTATGTGCACATAGTCAGACCTGAGTAATCCAAATTGGTCCAAATCACCGATTTTCATCTGACTTTATGAAAACTTAAAACAGATATGCGAGAGTGAAAAAACTTACTGAATTTAAGTTACTGTTAAGATCTTAGAGGTAACCAGGCATATGGCTGGCCATACCAAACACAGTTTAACAAATCTGAGGAAATATTTTTTAACATATGTTGTGTTTTTCTTGTACAGATTAATAACCCAAATTGAAATTAGAGCTTTCAAAGCCACCTATTTTAGAAACATGCTAAAATGAGTTTGAAGGGATTTTGGTTTTGTCTCTTAGTATCTCATCGTTTAACTGAATGAAGAATATATTTTCCACTCCTGTTACAGGGAGAATTCCTCATTGTTTTCTGGTTTGAATAGGCAAWTAAAATTCCTCAGAAATGGGTAGATTTCTGTGGCTCTGCACAGCCTTATATATTTTCCAACAACAAATATTTTTCCTTAGAGATGCATATCTGAAAATTAAGAATYGACTATCATAGTTAAGATCTCATATTTGATATAGCAACTGCTATTTTGTATAGCTCTTTTCAATAGTTTCTGCTTTTCTAACATATTTACCTTACTGGACTCTCCTTTGTGTGTCTTGAACTCTTCCATAAAACTTCTTTACTGATTTCCTGTTGACTGCCTATCTCACTGTATTGGGTTCATTCTACTRTGCTGGTTTAGACTGATACTAGAATGATGTCAGGGAGTGTTTGGCCTCTCCTTACTGTAAGTAATCCTTGTAATCCGTGCACCCTGTTGACAGTTCCTACTGTGCTCTGCATTGGCATGAGATTCTTTACAGTATGTTAGAAAGGCAGATTAAAAGTAAATAAAGAGAAAAAAACTGAGCAGACCTCTAAATGGGGGAGGAAGGGGAAACTGAGAACCTGAGGGGAAAAAAAACAAGGTGAAAGAAAGAGGAAAATACAGGCCATGACATGTGAACTAGAAAAGGGGTTGCTTATGCATCTTTTTGCTYGGTTCCAGTTTCCTCCAGTTCCTCTTTCATTTTCAGAATTAAGTCTTTGTTGACATTTTCTAGGGAAGAATGCATTCCTTCCTTTTTCTCCATTCAGTAGTTTAYTCTTCTCCTATTCTGTTGTCCTCTCCGGAGCACGACTTTCCAACCTTTCCACCACTCTGTTTTAGCTCCCTCCCCTCCTGGTTCCCTGCAAAGCAACCTTTGCATCTGGTTCCCTGTACACAGGCACGACTGTGTTTTGCCTTTGCGTTGTGTTGAAGTTCACAGACCACGCATGCATGACAGTTATTTATAACAGTGTTGCATTGATTTTATTTTTAAATGTGGAAGAAATCACTGAGATCTCAGCAAGCTTGGTAAGGTTCTTAAAAATGGTGAAGTGACTGTTTACAATTTTTTTATGCCTCTTCAGAGATTTAAGCTCTGAAAACAACTGCTTAGGGAGGGCATAAAAGAACTGTCTTTGTTTTTAAAAGATTGTTATTGCTATTCAATAGCAATTTGATTCAATTTCAAAAACTTTAAAAACTCCCTTATTAAGTGACTGTTATTCCTGCTTAAGCAAAGTGTAGCAGCAAGTAGAACCTCCTAAAGACGTCTGCTGAACTAGAAAATGTTCTTGAAAATAGTGCTTGTCTGGATGACTAGGTCACATGGCCTGTATACACCAAATATTATTTTGTTTCTCATATCTATTCTAAACTTTCATCACTAGACTGATTTCTTCATGTTGCATTTCAGATTGGGATGGTTTAAAATTGTATAGATACATTAACTGCTTTAAAATGGTGGGTTTGGCCATTCTCACTAGCTTTAGAATATTAACTTCTTTATCAATGTAATGTAATGAAGGGAAAAATACTCCTGGGTTTTAGGCTGTAGTATGTGTAACCTTACCTCATTTGTGGTTAGCCAAAACACTCATGCTTAATCAACTTGGAGGAAATCCAAGTGAACGCTCTGTTACTGGAAAGATTATATTCTGTAAAACCAACCCAGTAGAGAAATTTTTTACTTACTCTGCCTTAAAGTCTTTAATTCAACTTATTCTTGTATCCTTTTTAATTACACTAAAAYTAGAGCTAAGCTATAACTATATGCTAGCAGTTGACAAAGCAAATTCTTTTGCATCTTTTTGGTGGATTTATGCAAGCTAGCACATGCTAGACTTAATTCCTTCTCGTGACGTAAGTTGGTGTTCCTAAGTGAAGTTGTTTTAAAAATGAGGGGTAAAAAATTGAAAGGTATTTACTTTAGTGAGGAATGTAAGCATCATTATATCTTTTGTAGTTTTTTATTAAAAAAAAACCCTGTAATATATAGTACTTAACATTTTTCATTAAGTATGTTTCAATCATAAAAATATTGAAATACTGATTAGCAGAATGAGTTTTTAGTTAACAGATGAGTTACGAATAGCTGCTATTCCTCCATAAGTTTTCTATGTCTCAGTTTTATTGACAAGTAAACAGCAGATAAAAATTCTGATTAGTATACAGACTAAGCTTTTTTTTTAAAAAGCACTAACATCATAATATTAAGGACTAATATTCAATAAAAATGCAGTCTGCAAAAGAAATGTTATTTGGAAAAGAAAAGCAATATTACATTTTTCTGTATAAAAGCAAGTATTACACTRTAAAAAGGGAACAGAAGGATACATAGCAATAACACTTAATTGATGTAACATATATTTCTTATTACTACACTGATGCACTAAAATAAGAGAATAAGTAAAAACAGCAGACGCTAACCTGAACTAGCCTGGGAGTGTGAAAGAAGTCATTGGTATTTTGGTGCTCTTAGTCTGATTTTTTTTCCCTTTCTTTTGCAGTTCAGCCAGATATCATTTACCTGTAGTTATGCAGGATATGAGATATTATGGGAAAAAATATAAGCTTTTTTTGGTTATTTGTTTGCTTTTTTGCTAAAATTAAAGAATATGTCTTTTTTTAATAACTAATTTTTCAATGYATGTTTCTTGTCCAGCTGCTAAGGAAAAGGCATATAGGAAATGATATAGTTACCATTGTCTTCCAAGAGCCAGGAGCACTTCCTTTTACTCCAAAAAATATTCGTTCCCACTTTCAACATGTGTTTGTCATAGTCAAAGTGCATAATCCTTGCACTGAAAATGTGTGCTATAGGTGAGTAGAGCCTTATAACTATTTAAATTTGCTATTAACTCTGCAGTGAAATTGTCTGTTCCAACAGTTTTGTATTTCCTAGAGATGTGTGTACAATTTTAGAATTTCTGCTTTATTTTCTATAAATTTGAAACTCATGTGAATACCTTGCACACATTAGGAATCATGGGCATAATTGATAGACTCAGGTATGTACAGACCTCTGTCTTGCTGATGTATAGGCACAAAAAGGGGCAATAATATTGGGGAAAATAAAACTTGCTGATACAACAGTAGTAGCTAATTTAGAATTTGTATTGCATGCTTCCTTTTTTTTCCCCCCACAGAATACAATGTAATTTAAAAGAAGAGATTTTAGAAAGCTATTAACATACATAGAAATGTTGGACTGACTTTATGGCATTAGGATAAGTCATTTAAGCACTTGAATTGGGGCTTTTGTGGAGCACAGAAACATCCCAAATTTTTAGTTTACTTTTTATCTCTCTCAGTCAAGTTAAGACATCATAGGTTCTAGCAAGACAAACTGRATAGAAAAATAACTCTGAACTAGTTGGGAATTACCCAAATAATAATCAGGGGTTTAAGAGTTGGATTTCCAGTACTTGCTGGATTTAAGCTTTCTGTTAGAACTTGTTTGTTTAAGTAGCTATAACAGTGTTTATTAAATAATATATTGCATATTTCATAAGTCATATTTTTGTTTTTACATAGTGATAGCTGTTTGTAAGCCCAATTGTGACTGTATTTCAGCCAAGTTATCAGTGGTTGTACATGGTTTCCGCTGTTTTTGGAAATTATTTTTCGGTTGAAATGTTGTGTGTAATAACATATGTAYGTATATGTTGTTTGTGAAATATGTTATTAATTGGAACTGTAACTGTGCATCAAATATTTCTACTTCCTCAACATCCTTCTGTGAACTGTCCAGATATTTTTTGAAATTCTATCATTTTAACTGCAGGCCTTTTGAAAGGCCATAACTTAGAGAAGGCAACTCAAATTGGTACCTGTACCAGTGACTATTAGAGACTTATGTTTGACACTGGTAGTTTTACCTGTTTTCGTGCTTCACTCTTGCAACCTGTCCAAGGATTGAAATGAAGTTTTTATTTCTGTATATCAATACAATATCTTACAAAGCATTTTTGCATGTTCTATTAAAAGAAACAAGRAGCTAACTCTCTAAAAAGTTGTCTTCGATGTTTTTATTCTTACTAAGACGTATTTACAGTGTGTATTACATATTTAAAACAAAAAAAAGCCTGTTCTGAAGCAGACCATCCCTTCAATTTCCTTTGATACGTAAAAGAAAGTATATTTTAATAGGTTTCCTAAATAATTCTCCCAACCTGATTACTGAAATTTTGTTTAAAATGCCTAAAAATTGGTAGGTCAGTGCTCGACTCATCTGTATAAATGGACTGTATAGGTCAGTCCTTAATATCTAAATGCCTTTTCTTTTTTAGCCAAGTATCCATTTTATTGTCTCTTTTTATTTCTAGTGTTGGTGTTTCAAGATCAAAAGATGTTCCTCCGTTTGGTCCACCCATTCCCAAAGGAGTAACTTTCCCCAAATCCGCAGTCTTCAGGGACTTTCTTTTAGCCAAAGTCATTAATGCTGAGAATGCAGCACACAAGTCAGAAAAATTTCGAGCTATGGCCACAAGGACACGTCAAGAATACTTGAAAGATCTGGCAGAAAATTTTGTTACTACGGCCACAGTGGATACTTCAGCAAAGTTCAGCTTTATTACTTTAGGGGCAAAAAAAAAAGAAAAAGTGAAGCCAAGGAAAGATGCACATTTATTTAGTATTGGCGCAATTATGTGGAATGTGATTGCACGAGATTTTGGCCAGTCTGCTGACATTGAATGTCTCCTTGGAATCTCCAATGAATTCATCATGTTGATTGAAAAAGAATCAAAAAATGTTGTGTTTAACTGCTCCTGCAGAGATGTTATTGGATGGACATCTGGGTTAATGAGCATCAAAGTATTTTATGAAAGAGGAGAATGTATTCTTCTGTCTGCAGCAGATAACTGTACTGAAGACATCAGAGAAATTGTTCAAAGACTTGAAGTAAGTACGGTTTCTAAATTGGAGTGCCAAAATTTTTATCAACAGTTACTTATATACATTTCCTTTGAGATATAATTAAAAATGCCTTTTGTTTATGCATGAATACCATTTTCAATCTTCAGAGTTTTACAGGCAATGATCTTCACAACAGGATAACTGAGAGAAGTGTTATCAGATGATAACACTTGATAATTTATGAGATAAGAGTTAGCAACCCATTTTGAGGGACAGGCAATCTAATGCCAGTAGTTTGATAGACTTAYTTAAGGCTTATTTTTATGTTGAAATCGGCATTGAAAGGCTAAGCTCTTGTCTTCCCTTTCTGTAGTCTGTTCTTAAATCACATCTTTATAGGCAGAAATGTGATCTAATTAAAGAACATACAAAATCTTGGTGTGTAAAATACATTCATTTTGCCTTTTATAATAACCTATGTGAACTCTAGCAGAACAACTTATATAAGTGGTGCCGCTGATTTGCTTCTCTGTGCTAAAGAAATATAGGAAGCGAAGACGACYAGACCAATTAATTCCAGTTTTCACAGCTGACTGGATAAAGCTTTCCAGGCACTTGATGACCCTGTTAGCAGAACTGTCCTGTAACTGCCCCAGTCAGTACAAATGAACTGACAGGAGCTGCAAARTAAAAAGACTGATGTATCTTTATTCGGTTATACTTTCTCCTTTGGCCTTAAGTGCTCTTAATAGTGTCAGTTTTGTTTGCGTTAGAAAGTTTTCTACTGAAAACAACTCATTATCCTTACCATTTTCACACTGGAAGAGCTGGATTGCAGGACCAAAGCATTAGTTGGTGCTTTTATAGCGCTGCATGCATTCACATTTAGCATTGCACAATATAATGCTTCAAATAATCACCTTTTTCTACCAAAGTGTGTTTAAGCTTTCAATAGACTTTGAATCTTTTAATGAAAGGGTGTTTTGGACCCTTTTTGTCACTGTTAGATTATCCTTTTCATTAGGGACTTCTCTTTACTTACACAGATGTTTTTCTTATGAAGAACAATATATGTTATAAAGGTACCGCTAAATTAAAAATATTAATTGCTTAAAGCTGATAAGTTCCAAAGCTTTAGTGAAAGCTGCTATCATCAGTGGTGACAATTTATTTTGCTGTTTACACTTCTGTCTTACAATTTATGCAAAAATTATCCAATTGTTAAAATTATTTAAAATGTTTAAATTGCTGAGGATAGATCTTTGTAATTCATCTGTAAGAAAAAGTGGTTATCTATAAAAAAACTTTGATACAGTTTCACTCTGCTTCTGATTTGGTCTCTATTCAGAGCAACCATCTGCTACTGTACAGTATTAATCTACTCAAATATTTCTGCTTTTTGTGATCATATTTTAGCCTAAATTTTTCGAATGGGCATTTAGCCTTAAAAATTTAGCAGCGGTTATTGCTAAGTTTACAAAAATGTTGACTTCAAGTACTTACAAGTACTTATTCTCATGATTCCTAATCACCTTCTTTTTCACTCCCATCCGGCTTTCTCATTGCTTAAAAGGACGAGCTGTCATACTTGTTTAACAACTTTGTTCTTCCCTTTTCTTTTTGGCTCAGATTTTTCTGTCTTTCCTCTGCTTCTCTGTCTCTTTTGCAAGCTAAATAATAATATTTAGTCATTTTGTGATGCTGACTACTTTCTAAACAGTCCTTATGTACATTTAGACACAGAAGCTCAGAGGTTACCCTTTAGAAACACTGACAGTTATGTAAAACTCCATTTCAGTGCTGCAGATGTATACTTTAAAACCCTTTTAACTGGTTCAGGACACAGCTAAGATCAACAAACACATGCGTTAATAGAAGCTAAAGATGAAAGCTCGAACTGTGATGTGATGCTAAACTTCAGTGACCAGATTAACCCTTTCCAGTTACTAGTAAAATAATTTTTTAGAGAGCTAATAGAGAAGAATAAAATAAAATAAAATAAAATAGTAGTAGTAAAAGTACTACTCCTCATCTCATCCTACTACTCATCTCCTAAATGAGATCTTGGAGAAGATAATTGTGTTTTGTTCTCTGGCTTTAAGTGCTGATGAATAGGGAAGACTTTCTGAGTATTTGGATTAAGAAAAGATGTGAAAAGCTGCAGAGGAGGTTTTAGTGGCTGTTGTTTGAACCCAAAGAATCAGCAGGAAAAAAAAAATCTGGGATTTGTCAAGTTAGAGTCAAATCTGTATTTGTAAGGGAAAATATCTAAAAATACTGAATAGAGAGAGTAAAGGAAAAGGAAACTTTAGACAAACTTGGTTGGCTCTGACTTAAGACAGTAAAAGTAATGGATCTGTGCATTAGGATCATAGAGACTGGCGGAGTGATTTAAGATAACATAAAGACTCTGAGTGGGTATTTGGACATCAGTCTCAGTAGTCAACAGTTCATTAGAAGACAGTACACTTAAAAAAAAATGTTTATAAATTTTAAAATCATTGTTTTTAATGGCATACAGAGAAGCCATCTCTTAGATTTGCACCACCACATGCTCAGGAAAAAAACCCCAAAATCAAAAAGAACTATTGTAAAGTGGAGCAACACTGTACCATGTGGCTTTGCTTGAGGTCTCCTGGAATCCTTTTGACTTTGCTTCGGAAGGAGCTTAGTCTATGGCAGGAATGTTTATCTTCCTTCTATTTCAATTTTTGAATATTTAACAAATTTAAAGGAGTTTTGAAAGCTTTGAGTTGGGGAAATCTGTACTTTTTTTTTAGTATATAGTTCATACATAGCAAATAGGTGTTTGCTCACAAGAAGAATTTTTGTGTACTTCGGTAAAGATAAAATTCTACATCTCAGCTAGGCTCCTCATTCTCCATTTCACCACATGGCTAGATATTATGTATGTTCTAGAAACTTGTGACCGAAGTGTAGGAAAACTTCGAAACAGCTGAAAATATTACTTTTTCACTCTTCTAGTTTGTAAGTTTCAACAATCTGTTGAAAATTAACCAAGACTCGTAAATGTCAGAGCTGGGGGGAAAAAAGAAAAAAGAATTAGAGCTTAAAGGTTTTCACTTTTTGAATAACTCTAATCCTATTAGAAACATCAGATTATCTTTATAATAATTTAAGGAGACTTTTTGATGTGGCCTTAATATACATTGCACTTACTAAATGTTAATGAAAGTTAYGCTTAAAATGGAAAATTAAAACAGAAARTTTCTGAAAAGAAGTAGTGTGTTAGAGCTGCATACTGACAAAGAAAGTTGTGGCTGTTTCTAAAAAGAAGGACCCAGAGCACTATTTGTAATAAAAAACTACGGAACATATATTGGACATCTCAATTATGACTTTCATATTTCAACTTCGAAGCCCAGATTTTCCAAAGGAACTGGAGGCTTTAGGAACTCAACTTGCCATGGTTTAAATATCCTGAATTGGCACAAACAGTGATTCTCAGAGTATCAGGCTCTTGCAAGCTAAGTGCTTCAGAACTCAAGATTGAATAATGAATAAGGAGTAACTGGATTTCATGACGATGAGTTTACTGCAGGTTGAAAGCATGAGCATGGATCAGCTTGTTCAGATCAGCAAACACACACTGACTTACTGTCCTGTGGCACTCCATTCTCATATGTCTAGTTTCTCTTATTCCCTCCCTCCCTCCCTCCTTCCTTCCCTCCTGCCTACCTACTTACCTAGCTACAGATAACCAACCACATGGAAGATATTTTGTAAAGGCAGTAGTGGTAGTGCTTTAAAACTTAATAAGACTGTAACTGACTGCCGTTGCTTATAAAGTAACAGTGACTTTCTGCTGGCCAGGTTACAGCCGTAAGTCATATAAACACTCCATAATTTTTCCACTGAGCCGCTGGTTTTGAGAAGGGAGCAAAAATCAGATCTCCTGTCCCAGACACTAAAACAGACTTGGGCAGTGAAGGCTTCTCTAAACAGGAGGTGTAGAGGGGAAGCTGCAGGGGTCATTTGCAGCTCAGTACTTGCTGTACGGCCACTTCCCCCGTGGGTCGTGGGGACCTGCTTACACCGTGGGGGCTGCTGCTCTGCGGCCCATGGCCTGTGGGAAGCACAAAGCTCTTCTAAAAACAGGCTCCTGCATTAAACCCCAGCTTTAAAACAACCTTGGGCAAGACCTGTCCTATACAGCTGATGAAATGGGGGCGCTAGCTTCCTAAAGTAAGCACTTTAAATTAGATGCCTAAAGTTGGGTTATGTAGGTACCTCTGTAATGCATGCCAAAAGCAACCGTAAGCAGTATGAGTAAGTGTGGATTAAGGTGTGCTGCAGAGTTCCTTTTAATGCAGTGTAGACTTAGGATACCAGGTCAAGTGATCTTCTTAAAAGCTTTACCCTTCAAGGTCAGGTCTTTGTCTTAAAGAAGTGTTGTAAGCGCTTTGTGACCTTTGAATGTATTATGAGCAACATTTTTTGATAATGTGATTGTAAGCTCAGTTTTAGGTGTAATAGTGGAGCTAGAATAGGTACTGGTTTTGTTACATGGTCTGAAAGGAATGTTAGTCTTAGACTCACGAACTTCRTTTGTAATGAGAACTAGTGTTTGGTCTTCCAAGGGGCGGAAGACTGGTGCAGTACTGCAGCACATACAGTGTGTTGTGATAATGTTTACTGGGCAAAACTGTTGAGAATTTGTTAAAACATAAAAATAAGCCTGTTTAGTAAAATTTGAATGTGAAAGTTCTAGAATTTGAAGGTTTATATGATGACAGAATTACTTCTAATTGAATATGAAAATCCTCAGTTTTCTATCAAGATTGCGTTTTGCTTTGTTTTGTGTTTTAAGGCTGAAGTAACTGTTAAGATTTCAATATGATATAAACAGACTTGTGTTGAGGTGGGCGGGAAGAGGAGGAATTTGACACAAGACAGCTGGTTGCTCCTGCARTGTCGGATTTTAGGACTATAAAGTGTTTTCTTTATTTTGCATGACACAGGAAACATTATTCCATCACAAATGTCAAAATAATTGTTAGCCTTAGTGTACTGAGGATATTTAACTTAAAGCCATTGGTGGCTATATGGTATTTGGAAACGGATCCATTTGTGTGGCAAAAGAAATGAGTGTCCCGACAGTAGCTTATCAGTCTGATATTTCTTTAGATAGTGACCAGAGGATGTGAAACCACAGAAATGACCCTTCGGAGGAATGGCTTGGGCCAGCTGGGATTCCACGTGAACTTTGAAGGAATAGTGGCCGACGTGGAGCCCTTTGGCTTTGCATGGAAGGCCGGCTTAAGGCAAGGGAGCCGCCTGGTTGAGATCTGTAAAGTGGCCGTGGCGACTTTGACTCATGAGCAAATGATTGACCTTCTACGCACGTCAGTCACAGTAAAGGTGGTGATAATTCAGCCACACGAGGATGGAGCACCTAGAAGGTAAGGAGCAACACCCCTTCATGTGACATTTTCTTTTATTTTCCCTTTGCTGCTGCTTTGCCCGTGGCYTTTTTTATTAGGGGCTCTTCGGCAGTGAATGTTGTGTCTTGTATTTGGTGATTCTAGTACTTTGACTGTTAAAGCTTTCCCCCCSCCCCAAAATATGGCTTTGAAATAGAAGATAAAATAGGATCTTCTTAGAAATCTAGGGTAAGAAATGAGCTTCAACTGCTGTTAAACCTGTTGTGATTTCTTTTCTGCCACAGGATATTTACTGTATTATATCTTAATACTAATTTTGAAAATTGGGTACCCTCGTCTGAAAAATATATATTTTCTTTCTGTGAAGTTTGMCTTCTAACTATTGAAATTGAACTTTTATATTTCTTATTTTAACAAAGCAACTGGTGAAACATTGGGTTCAAATTATCTGTGGTATCAGGCCTTGTAATCCTCTTCATTTTCTATCCATATATAACTTATTCATATTAAATGTTGAATCACATCCATGGAATCCTTAGTTAAAGTTAAGAAATCTTGCTGAAATAAATGAGTGCACGCACACAGGAGAACAGTGTAATAAAGATAATTATAACGACAGTACTATTGTTTTCAGGGATGAAATGCAATATTCTCCTGCTAGTTTTTCCTCTGTTTTTTTTTTATGGTGATCAAAAGACTCATTTTTGTTCTTTCTATTTTTAATACTATTGTGGCAGATAAAAGAGGTGGTACCATTTAAAGCTTCATAAGAGTCTGACTTTATTTCTGCCATACTTTATGTAGGCATTGTCAGTTTGGTTCATTCTGAATGAGAACTATACCAGGAGTGAATTACTCATCTGCCTGCTTTTAGAAGGCCTTTTTAAAATCTCTTGTTGATTTTTAATTTAACAGAAAAAGCATTAGTGTGTTGCTCTTGGCAAGACAACAAGCCATAAAATTTTACATAGCATGCAGCACTATGAAGTTAGTGCCAGTATACATGGGTGCTGGTGTGTTTCTATTTAATTGGTGGCAATTCTCCAAGTAGTCCTCGGCCTGATGARCGACACAGAAGTGCCCTTCCCTGCCCCGACCTGCATGTTGAAGCGTTGGGTTCCTTTTTGAAGAAAATGTCTGTGAATGTAGAATACTACCGTTTTGCTTAGTTGGAGAGAATTAGCAATTAAGCCTGGCTTTGCTTAGCTTTGCTCTTCTCACCATCTGCTTCTGGGTATGAATTTCCACTGGCTTGTTTAGCATACATCTCCAGGCTGTTTACAGTATATGAGCCTAATGAGCTGATCCTATTATATTAAAGGTAAAACATGTGTTTTATAGTCTCTCTGATAGAAAAAATACATACTGTATAAACAGTTTTTTTTATCTTCTTTGACACATTTTTAGAAATTAAATGTTAAAATCCCCAATCAGTATAAGATACATGAGTTTCTTTAATTAATCCTCTGTGTRTAAATTCTGCCTTAGCTTATTTTTTTCCACACCTTCACTTAGGTTTAGTCTCTTGCATTATTGAAGTTTTAATTTTCACCACATTGTTCACAAATTGAATTCATTAACATGTAGCAAATATATTTGAAATTTTATTTTTATATATATATATATATATACATATGAAAATTAAAGCTTTAACATTGAGCCACTCTGATTCAGCTGGTGGTCACTTTATACCTTAAAACAGTGCAAACCTTTGCAGAGGATTCTTTTCTCCTGAAAAGTTAATTCCTCTTCTTTTTTATACTTATGTTCATCGATKTTACTAGTGTTTGCAGAGACACGGAATGGAGATGGGAAGGGGCCTCTGCCCATTTTCTGGTCCAGTCCTCCTGCTCTCAAGCAGGGTCAGCTAGAGCAGGTTGCCCAGGCCCTTGTCCAGGTGGCTTTCGAGTGTATCCAAGGATGGAGACACTGCAGCCTCCCTGGGCAGCCTGTTCCAGTTAAGGCAGGTGTGCCTGCTCATCAGGAGAGATGCTTTTTCATTGGCAAGTAGCTCTGATAATAATTAAGAAACAAACAAAGAAGGCATTTTTCCTTTGAAGTTAGGGGTGCAGTCAAATCCTTGAAACCTACAGGCTTCACAAGTGTGTCCCAAGAATTCTTGTTTTCACTCACAGATGGCTTTAGAGCTTTACTTCTAAGATACGATACTTTTTGATACGATACGATTTTCTGCTCATGCATAATTAATTTAAATTTAAAAATCTGTGATTTCAAGTGCAGTCGCTAGCTTAAGTTTTTCTCATCAATGATTAGGTGCTGATTTACATCAATTCTTATGTTTTTCCTAGAATCAGTGGAATTAAAAAAAAAAAAAAAAGGCACTCATTTATAAGGTCATACATGCATTTTCATCCCCTTCAAAATTCMAGTTTCATGGACTATTGACATTTATAATTTTACTAATGCTTATCTTCTAATTAATGAGGAAATAAGTAGATTTCCAGTACRTGAAGAAGTAGTTGCTGCTCAACTGAGTTTTAGGAATACAGGCGAATGTGGACTTCCTCTTTAGGTTGCTTATTAGCTGTGGTTCCTTGCTGGGATCAAATTCTGAAGTGAGTTTACACAGATTGGATATGAGTGCCATGAAGCGTCTTGAGAATTATACCCTTCAAATGGAAGTGATTTTCAAGTGTTCAAGGGTGTTTTCAAAACAATCTCGGTCCTTTGAAAAAATATTAGCTGAAGTGGAGATATTTAATCAAATTCTTAGCTTGATTTTTTTGTGATGGCTTACCCAYGATTTCAGTCCTTTATCTCTTTATATAAAAAAGATATATCTGTAAGTGTGCATTTACTAAAATATTAGCAATGAACTATTAACAATAAATTTATTTTATATCCCTAACTACATGCTATTAGTTTATTGCAGCGCAAAAATAAATTACTTGAAATGTTGAACACACAGATTAATGTTACAGAGAGATTAGGAAATTATGCAGTATATCAAATTTGCTCAATGAATGTGTTCCAGCACTTTCTTAATGCAGACCCTTCTRTGTTCAGTCTTGATAGCAGTATATGCAAAGGCAATCATGGGATAAGGCCTCCTGGATTTCATTGCTATCTTGTAAAATTAATGAACAAAGCTCCTACTGTTRTCACTTTCCTCTGACAATTAAGTAATCGTGCACAAACTGAGAAGTCGTAATTATTTTTTATGGCACCAGGCTGATATTTAAATAGGGAAAAAAAGAAATTGCTGTTTTAAAACATAAATTTCCTCAATTAGAGTGCAATATTTGGACAAATGTGCTGGTCAGGTATTCAGTTCTGTTAAGTATCCCTGTGTCATATTTGTTACTACATTAAACCTTTCCCTCAAGCTTTTCCTTTGTTCTTCTATTGTTGTCACTGTGTATCTTGTATTACAGAGTGTAAACTAGATTTATGTGTATTTTAACAGGAAATTAATGGTATTAGTTCTAATTTTCTTTCATTGACATTGTCGCAGAAATCCGCAAAGACTATATAGAGCAACTATAGTTAACACTTTATTCTGTACTCTCAAGTACAGCATCCTATAAAGATCTAAAAAAACCATAAACTTCGTTTTGTTACTTCAAAATTCATATTCACTTAAGTAAGAGATCTTGATCCTGGGRAAGATTCATTATGTTGATATACTTATGTGTGATAAGAGATACAACTGGCTTGTATCAGTGGAGTCTTCTATRATAAACTTTCAGAGTGAGTTATGGTGAATTTGTGATATAAAATATCAGAGGATTTGACATTGCTAAATCCTTTCCAAAGGCTTTAGAGACTGTGTGCTTCACCTGGCTTTCATAGTCCCATTTCAAATAATCACAATTTTCCTGTTACTTTTTAAATATGTGACAACAGATTTGGACATATAATTGGAAGATTGACATTTATTTGAGCTTAGGCAAACAGCTACATTTTTATCAAACAGAAATCCACCGGGAACCCCGTAAAAACTTTGTGCATTGTCAAAGTGGAAACAGGTACCTGCTCGTGTTGCATTTGYGTGGCAGTAGTCTGTTTTTTGGTGGAAATACCTGTTCTGAGAGAGGAGTGTTTCCATCTTTGGCAGCCCACAGAGTTGATTGCTACATTCAGTTAAAATGCARTATTTCCTTCTGCTCAGCTTGTGGAAGTTGATTAACAACTACAAGAGTCATTCTGTATATTCTTTAACTGGTTTACCAAGACTCTAGAAGGATTAGTTGCATTGATCTTTTTTTCTCCTGAAATTTAGCACTTCTATTTCAGTCATAATGTGTTGTCTTAAAGAGCTAATTGCTTTCTATCTTTGAGCAGAATTTCCTCCTTGCTAACTGAAAGGTCCTTTAGATAGCACTGTAAGTTGGCATGTTGTTTTCCAAAATAGGCCAACTTTTAATACTGACTTGGAATTTTTGTGATACTCTGTGACTCATTAATTGGTTTATATTAATAGTTTTTTTCTACAAAACTGTAAGCCAGACCAAGTGTAGAGAGGGTAGATCAGGTGCTTTTGTGATACCATGAGTTTCTAGCCCTTTTAATACTGCTAGAGTCCCTTCATCCTTACTGTCCTCAAGAAACATACGACTAATTCTTTTTTTTCCCCCTCCTTTTCTCCTTTGGAATGTGTCATCTGTAGTTGCCATAAGCAAATAGTGTAGATCAGTGAGATAATTCTGTACATTAGATAACTTAAGAAACATCTTTTTGAATCTTTTTCCCTGATCTGCTTAAAGATATCTCTCTTTCTTACAGTATTATTGCAATTKCCCTACTGACCCTGCAAAAAAGAAAATATTCTTCCAGTAGTTAAGCAGCTCTGGGAGGGCTTTTACTGTGCAGCATTTATATATTCTGCTGAAGTGGAGAAAGATATTTAAAATGAAAATTTAATTTAAATTTAATTTAAAATTTTAATTTAACATCAGCTATAGTGATATGCAGAGAAAAGACTTATGGTTACTTTGTGTATTGCTAGTTATAGGTAATGACTCTTTACTGAGCAAGAATGAATGTTTTGCATTGAAATGATGGGAGTAAGGGAGACCTTTCCAGTGCAGTACAGAATTAAAGGTGAACACCTGTGACTGTGTCTTTGTGGCCAKATCCCCTTTAATGCCCATCTGTGATGTCTTGAACTAAAATTGAATTGCAAGCAATTCAGTTTTGTTATTGTGGTAACAAATCATTCATAATGAGGTATGAGATCTGCAAATTAAAACCATGGTTTTATCAGTTCATGTGAACACCAAACACTACAGGGACTTTAACACGGGAAAGTAATTTTAACCAAAAACGGTATTTTGTCAAATGAATAAATTGTTGTCTATATGATAACTTCATCAGATCAGGTCAAGCTATGTTTTTGGTATCCTTTCATTTCTTAAATCGTACAGGGTTGGAAACTATCTTCATAAAATTTTGCCCAGTATCTTTGGGATCCAAATATAAGAGTGATACTGAATTATTGATAGAGGCAGAATATAGCAAAAAAGATAAGACTGTCACGCAGTCGTCAAGGTGGCAAACTCCTGATGATAATACATAAAAGCTTCTAACTTTTCTCTAGAGATTAACATTTACCTTTCGAAGTAGTAGGTTGGTATAATGTAGCTCTTTCAGGGAGCCTTTTACGAAATCCAGGTATGGAGTCTTGAATTAATAGTGAAGGATTTGGKTTGCATATTTTAAAAAATTGAATAAGGTATTGTTTCAGACCACAGTGTTCCTTGCGATAACATTTGAATATTGTAGGCTTTTATAGTGGCCCCTTACATTTGTGATAAAAAATACAGGTTTTCTAGTGGCCCCTCCATCTGTTAGCTGTATTGTTGAGTCAGAGTCTATGTAACTACAGAGTAATTTATGAACAAGATAGTTTACTGGATAGTAGTATGGATCCCCAGCTGAAGAGATTGAAGAGATTAGCAGTCTTTGTCTTTATGCTGGAAGCGTGTTTTATTTACTTACAAGCTATAGTGAAGGACAGAAAATGCTCTGATTTCAAATGTGCACTTGAGATTTGCTCATACTTGCTTCATGAATAACATGAGTCTTTTTGAGTCAGTTTTTCAATAGCATTGTATCAAGTATAACTGGAAAATTTGTTTTAAATACTACACATCCTAGTTAAAATTTCAACTAGGTATTAAAAATTAATATCCTCTTACTGGACTTCAAGCATTGCAGTAACTGATTTCTTTTGGTTCCAATACAGCAAGTAGCTACAATTATGGTTTTACATATCTTTGTATGCTGCAATATCTGCTCTTAAGGATTACAGTAACCAGGGAGAGAATGAAGTGATGYTAGGAATTTGGCAGAGGAATAATTGAGATGCACAGCTGTTTAACTTCCTCATCAAATAATGACCAGCCATATAGGCATTATACAGAGCACAAAAGTAATATTAACATTACTAAGTTATCTGTGCCTTCTTTGTTCTGTTCCTATTGTATATAAAGCTTTATGAAAGGCTCTAATTGAATCATCTATCTTCTATGATTTGTCCTTTATGAACCTTCTGTGTTCACTTAACATGATGGACCTGCTCTGGAAGTGAATCAAGGCTGAATTGCTAGAGGCTGTGGTCTCTTAGACCTCGGTCTCATTTGTTGCAGATTTGGGAGATGTACAGCAGATGAGGCAGGGAAACTTAAAGAGAAGAAAGGTCCTGAGATATAAGCAGCTGAGTAGCACCCTGGAGAAGTATATTCTCYTCACGCTTCTGCAGTAGAAATTTTGTAGAAAGTTTGTAGAAAGAAATGTAGTAGAAAGTTTGTGTGATTCTGTACAATTTTCTTAACATGGCCATTCCACCGTATTTGTTTTTCTAAGAGTTCACCATGTGTATTTTGTGATTTTCAGAAAAATAAAAGTTTTAGGAGTTTTTCTTGATCTTTTTTTTAAAAAGGATAGATGAAGTATTTTGAAGCATTGATCTGAATAAATGTGGAATTTTTGGAATATCCTAGTGCCCTTTCTTTAGGTTGTCTTCATCACAGTGTCTTGCCTACTGTGACTTCTAATCTCCACTCTAAATGTGAATTTTGACTGAAGTTCTCTCTTTTTTTTTTTTTTTTTTGTATGTTTGAGTACTAGCAGAGACTGGCATTTAATGTCAGAGATCAACAATTTGCAAATTCCAATGCCACAAAAATTCAGCAGCCTGAAGAAATGTGACTTGATCACACTGGGCATATACAGAAAGAGCTGCTACTTTTGCATAAAGATCTTCTTTTCAACAATCTTGAATAACATAGTTACCATTTTTACAATACCTTCTTTTTCATCTGCCTACTGGAATACTTACAATAAAAATGTATTTTTGGAGGTTGGTTCAGAAGCTTCAGGGCACAATAATATAACACACAAGAATCTGTATGATTTAACTGAATTGCAGATTTGTGTGAAGCCACTTGTGCTGAAGTATTTTCAGGATTGTAAGACTGTAATCACATTATACCTGCTCTATTACAATTTCTCTAGGTGTTTTGAATTTAGTCAGCAGTGATAAATGTGAGTTTTCAACAAAAGCAAACTTGAGTACAACTCAATTCAACAGAGAGAGCAGTGAATTTTAGTTGACGCAGAGAAGCACATTTTCACTATTACTTACAATTTATGTGCTGTATTAGAATTACATAGGAACTTTTTCATAGAAGTTAATTTAGTACCCACTACCTGTCAGAAACAGATAAATAACCTTAGAGTGTGCAAGAATGTAAGGCATGTCTACAGTGATAGTCAACACTGATTTAAACTGAGTCTGAAATCTCTCTTARCTACTTGCTTAGACAGTAGTCCTTAATTTAGGTGCAGTCTGCCTAGGTCTGGAAATATCTCAAATGCAGACTGACCTTTTAGGGAATATTGTCACTGCTTTCACCTGAGTCTACCCTTTCTGGGAATGCTTTAGAAACTGCGCACACTATAGGCTTCAAGCAGACATGAGCAGTTAGTCTCRGATTTGTCTCTTCTTTCCCCTTGACTTTTTCTTTTCTGGGCAAAGTCAGTCCTCAGTAGGAGAGATGTTAGAAAGTACCCTGTGCAAATAAGGAGAAAAATACTCAGATGTCACTTACTGTGTACACTGTGATGCAAACGTGTTGCATGTGATGCAAATGATTCTGTCATTTGGCCAGGGCATGATGAGACTCAAAAGATAATTCTCAATACCACTTTTAAGATGCTGGGAAGCAAAAAAGAATGTGTATAACTTATGAGATGGAATTTCCTACATTAAGAAATTATTTGTATTTATGAAGTTTGAATAAGATAAAGGTGTTACACAAAAACTTGACCTTGGTATTTCTTAACTTCTGAATACTTTGTGTTTATTATGTGAAATTTAAGTTACAGATTAATTTTTCTAAACTGCTTTCTCTTTTTGAAGAGCAATGAAAAAAATCACAAACCTTTGACAGCATGACAGCAAATCATTTCTTTTGAAGCGTTTCCTCCCAGATTGGCATTTCAGTTTTGAAGCATTCAAATGCCAATATGATGCTGCATGAACACCTTTAAGCATCTTGAAGAAGAACATACCTGCACCTATGACTGTAGGAAGCTACTTCTTTTTTGGTCCCCTCCATGGGATTTATAAGCTTTCTTCCTCTATTCTATAGGGGTTGTTCAGAACTTTGTCGTATACCCATGGTGGAATACAAACTTGACAGTGAAGGCACCCCATGTGAGTATAAAACCCCTTTCAGAAGGAATACTACTTGGCATCGGGTGCCGACTCCCGCTGGGCAGCCTCTCTCTCGTGCCTCTCCAATCCTAGGAACATCTGACAGACTGCAGTGCCAGCAGCTTCTCCAGCAGGCTCAGACAGCCATTCCTCGCAGCACTTCCTTTGATAGAAAACTACCAGATGGTGCAAGGTAATATTCTCTCCGTTTAATTCCTGTCATTCTCCTCGTGTGCCTTCCTGGGATATCTCTGCTTTCTAGACCTTTGCTGTGCTTGCTTCTCAACCGTTTCTGAATGTGCATGTTACTTTGTTGAGTTTAAGTGGAAATTTTAATTCTGCAGTTGTGTGAAAATAAACTCAGTGATCATGGTTCTCTCTGACAGAAATAAGTGATTTCTGTGTGTGTTGTTGGGTACTGTACTGAGGATGCTAGTGATGAGGGCAGCTCATGTTTCCCCTTTATTTCCAAATCAATGAAGTGCAAAACTGGCTTGTTGTGACTTTTTGATCTAACCAGCGTACGGTCTCCCCATCTTTGGGGAGTATATTAAAACAAATAGTGAGTGTAAATAAAATGAAAGCATCCCTGTAAAAATGAATGATTTAATCTCATTACCACACTACTGGCATAGTTTCAAAGGGTTCTGTAACTCATTACCAGTCCTTATGTTTTGCTTTGCTTTTAATTAAACAAAGAGGAGCTTGTGATTTGAATAAATAACACCTTTTAGATGATGGGATAGTAGGTATGTTCTAATTCAATCATATTTCTACATAAGGGAGCAATTTTTTTTAAGTTTAAAATTTCGCTGAACTCTGATCTCTGAATTATTTTGGAAAACAATGCATCTTGAATAGAACTCTGTGTCCTTTAATTTGCTGTTTATTGTTCCCAATTATTTCTTCGTAGGCCTTTTTCTCTGAAATGATATATTTCTTCTAATGTCCAAGGACAAAAGTATTGTTTATCTGAAATCTCAAATTGATACAAAATCCAAATAATAGTCTTGTTTTTAAAAAATCCTTCCCAAAAGATCACTTGTATTTTGCTGCTTACTCCTGTGCCCCTGTCTCTTGCCACAGCTGCAAAAAGAGGTGCATTTCTTAGCATTACAGCACCTAAGTGTGTCCTAATGATTTGTTCTCCAAATACTTGGTAAATTGTTGGTGTAAGTAGATAACATGTTGAGCATCTAGAAATACTTAGGRGTTTATAAAGCTCTGCTGCTCATATTGCATGCTATCCTTAGGGGAAAAAAAAAGGAAAAAGAAAGCTTTCTGGCATGCTATTCATTCCGATATGAAAAGTATGAACATAATTTGCACATCTCCTAACACTCAGTGAAACAWGTGAAAAGCCTTTAGAAGACAGAGACCATCCCTTGTAATGAAGAGAGTTCTGTATCACTTGAAACAAGTGCAATGCCCAGGTGCTGTTCTGGGGAAGACATTGTACAGAGTACAAATAATGAGAGGAGGAGAGTGATGTACTGAGACACGTGGGTCTCGAAACATGAAAGGCACCAAATCTAATTGGCAAGCTCTTTCCACATGGGAAGAGGCTCGGTAGACAGCTTAAAGTTTAAAGTAAGACTGATTGCAGATAGTTTTGTGAGGGTAAAAATGTGTACTCAAACTAGGAAAATGATGAAGAGATTTTAGAAGGGTCGGAGACCCAATATCAATTTAGACAAACTAAGGAGGAGTGCAGGCAGGGAGAAGCAGGGAGATAAAACTGGAAAGTTCCAGTAATTGATCTGAAAATGAGCTAGCCTTGATGTCATTTTATAATGGGTGTTTTCAGAGATAAAAAGAGGAAGAAGTAAGAGACCTATGGGCAGAATATAGAGTAAAAGACTTGAGCAGCAGTAGTTCAGCTACTGTAATGCTTCTCAGTTAGGTGCCCCCTCTCTGGACTGAAATCAAAACTGAGACCTGAATATCTGAACTCCTAGCACAGCTCCTGGAGAGTTCAGTGCTTTGAGAAGACAAGTCGGACGCTCCTGAGCTGATCGAGGGGTGTCATATAATTAGCTGACAAGAGCTGCAGGGGTATCTTTGAACTCTCCCTCTGTTTTTACAAAATGCCTAATTCTGTGACAGCTGCTCAGTGAACGACTAAGAGCTAAGCTTCATCCAGATTCACTTTTCTGGCTTTTCCCCCCAAGAAGTCTCCTCGTACTCTTGTGCTCGAGTTGGAGTTGTAGGAAGTTTCTGTACACCTGGAGTCTAGAATCCATTCCTGAGAGCAGGCAGCTGCCTYGTGGTCCTGTGAAGGAGCCGTGGGAGGGATTCTCTTGCTAGCCCTCTGGGGCTGTGGTTTTAAAAGGGAATTCTTTTATTTAGCAGTCACAGGAAGGCTTGGGAGGCTTGGAAGGTAGACATTCCTCAGCCCTAAAGTAGTACAGAGCAGTATCTCAGTTTGGAGCACCATGTCCCAGTCTAGAGGCTCGGTAGGGATGGGGTCATCTTCTACCCACTCCTTAAAGCTGGATAGTGCAAGCTGTGYAGGAAGAGATGTAGAGCTCTGGATGACTGGAAGCAGTGAGATACAACTGATCTGAGCTGCAGCCCATACACTAATTCACTTGAGACAGTCCTGTCCATCCTTATTAGAGAGGAACACACCYAAGAATTAGGTGTTGCTCCATCACCTTTGTGTGTGTTTGGCTGTTACACAAAATGCAGTAGCAAATGTCTTTAAGATTTTCAAGTCGAACAGTAAAAATGCTTATTGAATGACATGTCCTTGGGCAAACGTTGTGCATGAATCCAAAACTAACTCTTTTCAAGCCTTGACTGAGTGTACAAATTCCTTTCTACCTTGCCTCAAAAAATGAATAAAAAGAAGGAAACACAGGAAATTCAAGATCATATACCTGAGGGGGGAAATTAGGTTGTAGAGTTCGGGACCAATCTGTGGGGAAAGGAAGAGAGGAAGGAGATAAAGAACAAATTTGAACATTATTTTTTAGCTGAATGAAAATCCAGGAAGAATAATTGTGGTGACTTTGTAAGGACATAAGGCTCAAATTTTAAATAATAAGCACAAAATAAGATTATTCATGAAACCGTTTTCATGTTGTTCTTCTATGTCAAAGACTATTAGAACGAAATATATAAAAGTGYCTTTTCTAAATTATTATGCTCAAAATTGGAATACATGAAAAGAGACTAATAATTGCTTCTGATTCACCACAAGAGATTCCCACATGTAAATTTTGAGGCCTAATCCATCTGCTGTGACTTATGAGTAAATCCTATTTGGACATAAGTAAAAGTAGATATAAGGAAAGTAGGATTTGGCTATTATTCTCTGCCTTTTTGATCCTTTTTGAGTATATGCATTTTAAAAAATACATTTGTAATTATTTTGTTAATAATGAAATAATATATGACAAAAATACTCACTTAAATGATAGGAAACTGAGATAAAACTGTAAAATCCCCAAGTTAACATACTTCATATGTTCATACTGCATCTGTATAACTGATTTTTAATTTTAAACRTGGATTTATTTGTGTAAATACTTCCGTGCCCTGTTAATAATTCTAGTCAACATTACAGAAGTTCACCAAGCAACCAGTCCTCCTCCAGTGACCCAGGACCCAGTGGCAGTAGCCAGTGGAGACAACAAGTGGGATATGACGGGTAATTGATGATTTTATATTTTGCTGTAGCTCCCATGCGTCATTTTTTGAAACAAAAGTTTAGTGCATGCTATATATCATAGTCTGATTTGCAGGGGTTGTTAGTAAACTTTAAGAAGCCCAGATCTAGCCATCTTAATGTAATGTGTATGCCCATATGATTTTAAAAATATACCACTTAGCTGTTTGGAACCAAATAGTTATTTTTACATTCCAGATGAATAACATGCAAGGAATACTCATGTAAATAGCATCTCAGGAATGGAACACAAACAGCTTAGAACTGTTTCATTATAGCTCTACATTATACATAGCATAACCTAAAAACACTCTAGATATGCCATTTTTTTCCAAGATTTTATGAAAAAATATGAATGCTTAGAACATCATTTTGACTCCTGGTCTGTAAGGAAGATATTGACTTGGAATGTATGCTTGTGTATAAACTATCCTGTGAGGCATTTACAAAAAAATATTTCGGGATCCACCCCAAGGAGTTTCAGATTATGCACTCACATCTCTGGCAGCTAGATAGGCGTTAATAATCCGGATAAAACTGTCGCAATCTTTTTGGAACCAGAAACACAAGAAAAAATTCTGTGGTTTCATTTTTCCAGCACAATAATTACTAATAGCAACCTTGATTTTTAGTGTGAAATAATTAACCTTCTGTGATACATACTTGACAATTTGGAGTTCAGATTATAGAATTTGAAGAATCTCATACAATTTTAAAATCTGAAATGAATAGAGACATCATGCATAATTTGAAGTAAAATGGCAGCAAACCAAGGCAATGGATCTGTCAGCAGCTTTAAGGCATGTTTTGAATGTGAAATTCTGCTGTAAAATGCACAGGCATTTTCAGTGGGATTTCATTTATGAAGCATTTCCATATTTCACCCACTGCAAAAAAAAATGCTCTATAACCCAAAGCTTAACTTAAATTTTAGTTTCTCCTGGTCTGTTCACATTCAAGATATAAGATATAAGTGTGCTGTTGAGAAAACGGCATGTAAGTATTTCCATTCTGTGTTTGGAAATATTACTAGATTGGTAGGTTGGTTGTTGTGATTGTTTAATCGCAGAATATTTGCTTTGAAGAGTAAGCAGTGGTGATGTTCAGCATGTAACTAGCTTCTTAGGGAGGGAAGAAAAAAAAAAAGCTTAATGCTTAATTTTCTGTTTTAATTTTGTGTTTATGTTAAAAGGTGTCAATCCCCATTACTTCATGAACACCAAGGTTCAGGTTCACTGGAGTGTGAAGGAGGCAGAGAACGAGAGGAAACCTTGGAAGGAGCCAGACATTCTGGTAATAAAATAAGATATCTTTAAAAAAAAAAAAAAAAAAAAAAGCTGTTTACAATGTCATATCAGTATCAGAAGTGCAGCCATCTCTGATACTGAGATTTGATACTCAGCATATAATGTGACTGTGGAAGTAGGGACTGTTATAGACAGTCTAACAGAATATGTTGTGGAATGTTTAGGTAATACTTGAAATAAATTAACTCAGAACTGCTGAAGACCTTGTGGAAAGCAGGCTGAGCTCTGTTTCATTGTCACTGAAAACCTAGATCTTTGCAAATTCTGCAAAGATATTCATGTCTGATTCCAAAGAGTGTACAGGTTTAAAACCTGATGTTTAAAGCACTAAGCCATGTGCCTTTTTTCTTTGTACAGTATACTCATCTTTTTAGCAGTCAGAAATTAAAACACAATTATTTATGGCAGAAACCAAGTGGCATGCACCCTCGACCAAAGTCCTGAGTTCCTACAAAGATCGGGCGTTACAAAAAGACGGCAGCGGCAAGGATTCGCCAAACAAACTTTCACATGTAAGTCTTTTACTTGTATGTCATTCAAAACTCTTTAGAATTCAAGACTTAAAGAACCACATCTTAAAATATATCCTGGTAGTTTAGGAAAGTGCAGGTTTGGGGAAGCAAATAGTAATCTTGTCTGAAGTGAATTTAGCATGTTTAATCTCTGTTTGTAGAAACTTTAGGAAGGCTTGGGTCTGGGACACTGAGGAGATAAAAGCCTAGTTAATAGAGACTATGCTGTCCATTTGCAGCTTTATTGATATTGGGTTATTTAATCTCCAAAGTATTTCATATACTAAATAAAGAAATTATATTCACCATAACACTTCCTGTTAATGTGGTATGAAATACACATGCACTGTATAAGTAAGAATGCATTTTCTGTATTGKGAATGGTGAACAGATTATTCATCTGTCTGTATCAGAGTCTTGTATTTAATAGTAACAATATTCACAGCCATGTAGAGACAGAAAGTCATRAAGTACTAGTGATATACTTTGTTCTTTCCTATTATGTCTATTATTTCTATTGTTTTTGTGATTGTGACATGAGAATATTCTTATGCATAGTAGGAACCTGTATKCTCTTTGTAAGTTTATAATGGATATTATTATGGAGGCAGATTTGCATCTGGCATACATTGATACCTGATGAAAATCCAGCTTAAGAATTCTCAAAAAAAAAAAAAGTACTGTCATAAACAGAATCATGCTACGTAATTATGCATGCAGACATGAAAGAGTTTTTTTCTCATTAAATTTAGTCAAAGTTGACATGAAGATGGAATCAGTATATGTAAGAATCAACAATAAATAGAGCATAGATTCCAAAGTTACTCCTTCTGTGGAACATCAATCACATTTTTATGGCAGGGGAAGCTGTTAGGCTTTTTAGTTGATGGGGATCTGAATAGAAAAATTTTAATAGAGTTAACCCGCATTAGAGAACATGCCCTGCACATATGCATTGTACAGAAGAAATTGTACAACAAAAAGTTGTTTCCTTGTAAAGATAATACTAACAAGATGAAACTATTTAGTTGGTATATCTTAAAAAACAGGAGGGGAAAAAAATTGTATTGCCCCATAGAGATCTTTATAACGTTCTCCTRTGGTCCTCTTTTGCTTAGCCGAATTTGGCATTTTACTCTTCCAGTTTGAGAAAGCCAGTCAAACTCATCCTGTGGGCTACAGTAAATGAACAAGGACTGTGTAATATATTTAAGCATTAGAAATAAATCTTTGTCTTCTTTTTATCTGTTTTAACTTGTGAGTGGAGAGGGGGGAAATTTCATCCTCTAACTCTTTTTGTTCTCYTCATCATAAAATCATTGAATTATTCTCGTAGCTGAATATTATATTTCTGCTGATTTTATCTTTATTCATTTATTTAAATCTTCTTCCATGACATAATATTTAAGAAGAAGTCACAATCAGGGGCTTCGGACTTGGGCTTCATATAAAAATTGCTCTTGGCACGAAGAAATGTTTAAAATGATCCTGAGCTATGGGCATGTGAACTCTGAACAATTCAGTATGTCCGTGTCGAGAGATGTTGTCCAGATTCTCTACCGGTTACAGTGTCAGGAAGGTGCCTAAGCATGTATGTTCAGCAGCCCACAAGAAATTTTTTGACAGATTCATTCACACGATATATCTTCCAAGGCAGATTTTGTGCCTTTGAGGTTTTTATTTTGTTTTGCTTTTCCCTGTCTGATTCCATTTACAATTTACATTTACAACACAAAGTGAGTCCTTTTTCTTTAAACACCTTTTCCTCTTTTTGGGAGAACTTCTCATTTTCATCTATTGGTTTGTTGTTCTCAAGGTGACAATCAAGTTGTACGAAGTTCAGAATGACTAGAACTAGAGGAAATGGCTTCAAACTGAAGCATCGGAAGTTCCACAGGAACTTAAGGAAGCATTTCTTCACTGTGCGGGTGACAAAGCACTGGAACAGGCTGCCCAGAGAGGTTGTGGAGTCTCCTTCTTTGGAGATCTTTAAAACCTGCTTGGATGCAGCCCTGTGCCACGTGCTCTAGGTGACCCTGTGTGAGCAGGGGGGTTGGACTCGATGACCTCTGAGGTCCCTTCCAACCTTCGRCATTCTATGATTCTATGATTCTATGACTACAAACATAACCTTGTCCCCCTCCCACCTTTCTTAAACAATTTCTCAAACTTTGAAGCCTGGTGATTCTTACTTGAAATAGAAGTGTCACTTCTGGAAAAGTTGCCGTATCTAACAGCTTTAATGTATAAGCAACACCTATATGCATATGCACGTGCTAGAAGGAGCATCCCATACCAGTAGTCTCCCTTCCACTACCTTTATGCCAAATAGAGGTCCATCTACGCCTCTGGCTGCTTTATCACACAGATAAATCAATCCAAGCCTAAAACCTCTTAAAAGGAAGACCCACTGACTCATGGCTGACAGAATTCCTCCCCTTGAATAGCTTTGCCTTGCTTGGAACCCTGTGGCTCAAGTTACTTTCATCTGCTACACATACATTGCACTTGGCTTCCGCACGAGGAGCCACACGTCCAATGGGATCTGAGCCAAGAAACTGCGTATTTCACCCAACTGAGAAAAGGCCAAGGGTAATTCAGTCTTCAGGGTTCTTCAGATTTGCCATGGCACTTGTTTAAACAGATCGTTGCCAATGTTGCTAGCTTTAAAATTTTTTATTTCAACTCTTCTGAAATGCAATTTTATGGGTGTTAAGCAAGACCTATAATCAGAAAATTCTAGTGTGATACTAGGATTTGCTAGAAGAGATGTAACTGGAACTTTATAGTTGCTTTCATTTGGAATGACATCAACCTCTAATGTGTCTAGCCAATCATGCAATTAATTTAATAGAAACTGATGGTATAATTAACCTTTTTCATATTTTATTTATTCATATTGATATTTATCCATATTTATTATTTTATTATAACATCCTGTAGCGAGAATTAGGTCATCTTTGAAAAGCACACATTCAGAAATGCATATGGAAATAAAGATATTGCCATTTAACTTTGAGGGGATGTCTTTGTTTGTTCCTTGCTGTTAAGATCGGAGACAAAAGCTGTTCCAGCCACTCCAGCAGCAACACCCTCTCCAGTAATACCTCCAGCAACAGTGATGAAAAACACTTCGGTTCTGGAGACCTGATGGACCCTGAACTGCTCGGGCTGACGTATATAAAAGGGGCTTCGACGGACAGCGGCATCGACACCGCTCCGTGCCTGCCCGCGCCGCTCCTGGCCCCGCTGCACCTCGGTGGCAGCCGGGCTGGCGGGCACTGCCGCGCCGAGCAGTGGCCTGAACCCGCCGAAAGCGCCGGGCCGGAGGAGGAGCCGGCCAAGATCTACGCMGTGCACAGCTACGCCGCTGCCATTGCTGCCGGCCATACCGCCGAGGGCAGTATGGGAGACCTGAGCGAAATATCCTCCCATTCCAGGTACGTGTTTCTTAGCAATCAGGAATTTTGGGGTAGAGATTAGATTCGCAGAACTCTCTCCTTTTCCTTTTTTCCCTTTTCCCCTTTTCCTTTTTATCTCTGTTATTCTGTTTTTTTTCTTTTTTTTTTTTTTGAAAATGCACTTAACTGGTTTCTGGGTTTTTTGGCTTTGTTTAAATATCTACAGAGAAACTGTATTGATTTTGAGGCATTTTTGATGAATCTACGTAAGAAAGACAAAAACCTGTTAGCTGTGTTCCAAGATTGAAAGGAAATTAGAAATATGACCTTCTGCGCATTGCTTAGATTTTCAAAATCGGGAGACATCCTTAAATTAAAGCAAAGTGATGTAGTAAATTCTTCACTTCTGTTTTTTTATAATGTTTTTAAATTTATTTCTTAAAGTTTAATGCTAGGAGATGTTTTACAAATAATTTTATATTTGAGAAGTCCCATCATGAGCCTATAGTAGCATATATCATAGAGAAATTTACTCAAATATATTACATTTAAACTTGACTGTTTCAAGCTATTTTACCAGTAGTCAGCTGATAGCTGAGATACATGAAAGCATGTGGCTTTACTTCCATTACTGCAGAAGAAAACTGTARGTTAGCAAGCATCATCATAACATCCATTCATGATGCTTTGTATTATTAGTGCGAGTTTAGYATGAGCATCTTCTCTATTATATTGAGTTTAATAGGTCAAAGCACCTCAGTCTTGTCATCTTGACAGCAATTAGTCTTATTAATGTCTTCATTTGCTTCTGAAACTTGCCTTTTCATACTTTGTAATACGGTGTAACAAATGACATGGGAGTTATAGCAGAAGGAAGTAAAATAAATTACAGTGGACTTCTTTTCCTTGTCCTAAAGCAGCAATTTCATACCATCCACCTTTCTTTAAATTATTGTGATGTATTCTTTTCAAGTTTGTTGAGCTGGATTTGTGATTGATTTTGTGCTCAACCTTTCTGTTACCAGTGGAATGTGTGCATGGTACCTCTGTTGTTAAGCCACCTGTGAAAGTTGGCTTTAACAGCTGGTTGCCTTTATCTCCTAATGCCCATTTTGTGGTGACCTTGAAGTTGAAGCTCTGGTCTCTGTATTAAGGTTTTGGCTCTTTAAAGCATGGAAGGAAATTGTGTGTTCTTTACCTCTCATTGTTCCATTTTCAGTATCAATCAGCATAGGAAAATAAACAACAAATTTGTTATATGACCCAAATGTTTCATTTAAACTCCACTTACATGTCCTACAAATCAAGCCAGAAGCATGTGACATCTACAGCCAAATCCATTATATATTTTTAAACTGGTCAGACCCTGACTTTATATACTTGTTTATAATCTGTAACAGTGGAATTCTAACCTAAGGCATTTATTCACAGTTAGAAACATTAAATAGTAGAATTCTGTAATAGCTAAACAGCGTAAAACTGCCCACAGATAGGGGAAAATCGGTTGTCCTGTAAATGCAGCATGTCCTTACTAGAATTGTATTCTGTTTACTGCTTTGATGAAGTGTAACGCACAGGAAAGAGGTTGCTTGGAAATACTGGCATGATTCTAAAACTTCATCCTGTAAAAGAAGCCCCTGAAAAAGGCTAATGCTGTAGTATCTGAGCAAGGGTTACAGATTTAAACCTATTGCAGGAACAATATCTCACATTGCAGAACTGATCTGACAGAGACAAAACATTGTGACAAAACACAGCTGTGTTTTCTTCTTTAATTTTAAAATTCAATTTTTATTTAAATTCATTTTCACACATGAATTATCAAATACCTTCAGGTTCCTGTTGCTGAACCAGCCTCTTTGCCTTCAGTTTTGCATTTTTTCTTACTTAGATTGTCAATCCGTTTTTGGTTTCTAAAAATACGTACTGCTTGTTTAAACACTTGTGTTGAGCTCACTAACTAAAGCCACGTTTCTGTGGGCATTTTTTTTCTTTGCTTTGAAAAGTATTCCCTTATTTAAAGCCTGCAGAGGAGACTGGCATGAGAGACATTGCATGCTCTGTTTTTATTAAATTGAGTAATAAACAGATATCCCCTGGATAAAATCCCCTGGATACTGCCCGTGATATCAATCTAATATATATTCTACATTCTCTACTTTGCTTGACGTTTAAAATTCCAAGTTTTCATAACTAAATTATTCTCTTCACTCTGATGTTTTTATCTCATTTCTTCATGTGTTTTATAAGGAAAATGAGGAAAAGAGCAACCTTATTGCTTTTAATGTAAATTTTCCCAAGAAAATTCTGAGCTTGTTTATTTTGGGCGTGGAAATACAGAAAGACAAAATTAGTTCTTTTTAAGCTAAGTGCTCATACCAGCTACGATGAAAATTCTCAATCTGTTGCCTTAGATGATCTTTCCACAGTAGGCATTTTAATTTCAGTTAATGACACAAATAGCAAAGTAGAAATACATGTAATATTTTCAGCAGTGACTTTTGGATCCGATGTGAATGGACTCAATGCTCTTACGATTTATTGTAATAGCAAACACAGTTTTATCCTTTATATTTGGTGAATGACAGAGAAAGTTGAGCTGCAACTTCCAGTTTCAGCCTATGGTTTTAGACAAGACACTTGGTTTATGAATTGTTCACTTCACCTGTAAGATGAAAAGAAGCATATTCTTCAATTAAGTCTTTGCATTAGTTCATTTTAAAGTACTTTGTGTCTTCAGTAGAATGTTTCATTAGTACCTACCACTGCTATTATTCATAATAAAAGACTGTACTGAAATCATACAGGAAGCTGTTTTTGTTTAACTAAAATTTACTTATGGTAGTACTAAATTCTCAGCAGTATTGACTGAAAAACTGAACTTAAACTAATGCAGCCTGCCAAAATTACCATGAAATGGAAAAACAGAGAGAGAGATATTTTAACTTTAGATAAATAAATAGAATGAAATATTTCCCCATATAGTTTTTGAAATAAATGGCTTACGCCATATTGTGTGTGTACATATATACTGAAAATTGCACACATGCTCTTCTCATATATATGTATTGAACTAAGACCTTTAATCTTAATTCATACCAGTTTGCATTAGCATTTCAGCAAGTTGAATTATATGCATTACTCATTTTAGAAACTCATCACAGCTTTGTGCATGTTTGTATGTGCATGAATGTATTATCAGGGCTTTAATATATCAGGCCATTGGTATCCAAGAAATTCCTGTATCAATATTGTTGCCTTGATTTTTAACGTTGAGAAAAACTTAACATTAAAAATTATAGCTGTCTATTAGATGAAGAGTCTCTAATTTACACTTTTATTGGCGATTTCATTTTTGCCTTTGTATGTCTTTGCTTTTCAGTGGGTCACATCATTCAGGAAGCCCATCAACACATTGCTCTAAGAAGAGCGGCTCCCTAGATACCTCCAAGGTCTATATAGTGTCGCAGAATAGTAGTCAACAGATTTCTGGGGCAATTTCCAAACCCTATCACAGACAAGGAGCAGTGAGTAAATACGTCATTGGATGGAAAAAATCAGAAGGTAGTCCAACACCTGAAGAATCTGAAGTTTCTGAATGCCATGAGTAAGAGCTCTGTTTAACTTTGTTTGGAAAAGAATGGTGAAAAAAATAAAATTTAAAATAGGATAGAAATATGAAAAAAGCATAGATTTACCTTTCACCTTTAAATATTTGAGTGGTTTTGTTTCTTACCTCAGAAAAGGCAAGAAATKCAGGATACTGTTTCTCCTCGGTTCTATCCAACTGTGTCTTTTTCCAAGGTCTAAAATAAAGCAAGCTGAAAGAAATCATTGAAATTGCTGTGTAAGCCGACAGCTTATAGTCGTGTCAGACATTTTCATTTTCCTTCTTGAATTTCTGAAATACATGTGAGAAGCCTTTTTATTTTGGTAAAGAACTCTTCTGGAAATCCCCAGACAGTTAACTGAAAAAAGTACCTAATTTATTTCTTGACAGTCCTTTCAAAACCGAGTTATAAAACCTAGTGAAACCATTAGGGTTGAGAGAGATGACCGAAAATTGCAGTCTGTTGAAGATAGTTTGAAAAAAGGAAAAAAAAGGCATGTGGAAGTGGTGGTTTGGTAGATTCTTAGTATCTTTTTCTGACCTTGATTTTTAAGAGCAGGTCAGTACTGGTGGTTAGGATATATAGCAACTGGTTTTCAAGTCCTTCTGCTTCCCAAAAGCCCAAAGTTTTCTGATTTATTCTAGTGAACAACTGTAATTTCAGTTTTACACAGAAATATACCCCACGAGGAATGTGTTGTTCTTGGGCAGAGGCAAAAGGCATGGAAAAGATACGCTACCTCGGATATAGATACTGTCCATCTTTCCCTGTGCTGTAGCAGTAATAAATGCTAAAAGAGTAAAAAAAAGAGAGGGTCCAGCGGAGAGCAGCTAAGATGATTAAGGGAATTGAACATCTCTCGTATGAGGAGAGACTGAGTGAGCTGGGCCTGTTTTCTCTGGAGAAGAGAAGGCTSAGAGGGGATCTGATTAACATGTGTAAGTTCATGAAGGGAGAATGCAGGGGAGAAGGGGACAAGCTCTTCTTAGTGGTGGCCAGCAATRGGACAAGGGGAAATGGGCATAAGCTGAAACAGGGGAAGTTCCATCTCCAGGTGAGRAGGAACTTCTTTACAGTGAGGGTGCCAGAGCCCTGGCACAGGCTGCCCAGGGAGGCTGTGGAGTCTCCTTCTCTGGAGATCTTCCAAACCCACCTGGATGCCGCCCTGTGCCCCATGCTCTGGGTGTCCCTGCTGGAGCAGGGGGTTGGACTAGAAGATCTCTAGAGGTCCCTTCCAACCTTGAATATTCTGTGATTCTGTAAATAATACTTGAATCTGCTGTTTAAAAATCAGCTTTTAAACTTCTCTAATCTTCACAATCTTTCCTCTAATGTTCTCTTGCCTTCTTATTGTGCATAAGCTGTTTAGTTAGCTTCTTAATAAATTGTAGTTGGCCCTGTGTATCTTAATGTTATATCTGTATYACCTTGCGTTGCACACGTGTATATTTATAGTAAGAATCATTTAAACATATAACACCAAAACACAGTCTAAAGTTAAGCTCTTGATTTCCTAATATGCAGAAGCAGCAGGTACTAATACCCTCCGGTCCAGATAATAGTGCATTTTCTGGTACTATATTGTGCACTTTTTCTTTTCTTTTTTTTTTTTCCCCTGAAGTTTTAATCTGTTAAATTCTTCAGTCATTGTTCAGGCATAGTAGAAGCTACCATAGAAAGTGGCAGGCAGCCTCATTGGTCCCCCAGGCTTCCACATTATGAAGTTAATGAATCCCTGCAACAACTTTTCTTTATTTTGGACGGAACCTTAAAGCAAAATTGCATAATAAAACATAACATTTAAACTAAAACCGCAACAATTTTGAGAAGACTCATCCAGAAAAGCTCCATTCAAAAAAAATATTAATTGGAGATGGTAGCATTTCAAATGTCAGAAAATATTTTCATTTGTTTCCATGCCATAGAGCATTGCTTCACATCTTTCTAGGAAAAATGTCTGTACATCCCAGAGAGAAAATCTCTATCTGTAGATAATTATGTTGAATAAAATAACATCTCCAATTAGCAGTGGTGATGAAAATCAGGTCAATTGCTGAAGGCTGTGCCACTATAGGATATAATTCACTGAGAATTACCATTTACCGTAGCCAAGCCTGAATTCTGTCTGCTGAGGATACAGTCACTAATTATGCTGCACTTGGCAGTAAGTAATGGCTTCAAATGTATGTTTTGTGTGTTTCAGAATCTCTAGTTCCTTCAGTTGCATTTACAAAGTTAAACGGGTTAAAATTATCTCTCTCTGGAAGAAAACAGAAAGAATAATTCAGTTTGACAGCCTTTTGCTCACTGCAAATACATTTTTATCTGTTGATAATTAAAGAGGATGGCTGTATTATTTATCTAGCAGCTTTGCGAAGTTGCAGATATTAAAACACACTTAACATATGGTACAATTGATTACAAATATCCTTCAAATATGACCAATGATGTTCATGGTAAGCTGCTCAGGTTGTGAAGCTGGATGCAGTGCCACACCACAAAATACACAAAATACTGATTTTTTTCTTATTTGCTGAAGAAGTAAAAGTTGAAATTCTGGATTGAGTTATTAAAAATGTAGATATAAATGCAAGTTCAAAAGAAAGAAGTATAGGTTGCAAAAAAGAGCCAAGTTGGGAGGAACAAGCCTTATGTGTGTTAATTTTTCTGAGGAATTCCCGAGAAGCGTTTTTTCTCAGGTATGAACAGCTTACTATACTTAAAATGGAAAATGATCCAAATAATGGTGCACTAAGCCAGAAAATAATTGTAGCAAATTTTATTTTGTGATTGAAAATAAATGCAGCCTTGCAAATACAATAGCACTTACACTAATTTTCTCAACAGAGTGTATGGTGATATCGATGCCGTGTCCGCCTCAAGCCCACTCCAGGCTTCTGCGAGGAGTGCCATTGCTGAAAGCCAGCAAGTACTATCCAAAGAAGATTTTCTGAAGATGATGTTGCCAGACAGCCTCTCTGGGGAGGAGGGGAGAAGAAAGGTTAGCTTCTTTCTTTGGCTCTGTAACTTCCAGACAAATGGAATTAYCTGGAAATCATTTACTAATATGCCCCAAATGGGTATAGAGAAGGCATGATCATTCTGTATGAACTAAATATATTCCAAGGGGAAGCTCTAAGTACTGACTGTAAGTCCCATAGTATAATTTCCCGCTATATGAAAAGAATACTTTTTTTGATGCTTATATATTAAATTCAATAGTTGTTTGAACATGCCACTGCTCAGCTGTTAAGGTTGGGCTAGTTCATTATAATTTCAAAGGTTTAGATGCCTATTTAACAYGGAGAATAGAAGACTGAGGGGAGATCTCATCAATATGTATAAGTACCTGAGGGGAGAATGTAGGGAGGATGGGGCCAAAATGTTCTTGGTGATGGCCAGTGACAGGACAAGGGGTAATGGGTATAAATTAAAATACAGGAAGCTCCATCTCCGTATGCGGAAGAGCTTCTTTCCTGGGAGGGTGGCAGAGCCCTGGCACAGGCTGCCCAGGGAGGCTGTGGAGTCTCCTTCTCTGGAGATCTTCCCAACCCGCCTGGATGCTGCCCTGTGCCCCGTGCTCTGGGTGTCCATGCTGGAGTAGGCAGTTGGACTAGATGATCTCTGGAGGTCCCTTCCAACCTCAACCATTCCGTGATTCTGTGGGATAATGTTACTGTCATGTAGTTGTGGAGATTTTATTTAACATTTTGGAATTAATAAAACTACACAATATTTGATCAATTTATGGGTTTTCTTTTTCCAAAAATATTAAGAGAATGCATAAAAATCCAGTTTAGTAACACCTTAGAGAACCTAGTAGAATTGATATCTGATCTTCTATATTATCTGTTRTTCCAAAATGCCTGTCCAGAAAAATACTCCAGGAATAGATGATAGGATAATGTAGAATGTGAATTATTTTAATCAGTAATGCATACTCTTATATGTTCACATTTTCATATTTAGTTTTCATTTTATGGGAACCTTTCTCCACGGAGGACACTCTATCGTACCTTATCTGATGAGAGCATATGCAGCAATCGAAGAGGATCTTCATATGCAAGTTCTCGAAGTTCAATGCTAGACCAGGCTTTGCCAAATGATATTTTGTTCAGCACTACTCCACCATATCACAGCACTTTGCCTCCCAGAATGAGTGCGACTCCTGGAATGGGAAATCTGAGAAGTAAGTGATGGTTTTGTTATTGCTGACTATTAAAATAGAAGCAAAATTTTGAAATTCTAAATCAGTGTTCCATATATCCTAGATAAAAAGCGTATTTTGTCAGTAGTAGCTGCTTATGCTTGCCTTAATGATCAAATTGGATTTGTCATATTTGGGAACAGCATTCACTTCTCCCAGAATTTTCATTATACAAGTCATGGGCAGTGACCATTTGTCTGGAGACAGTTTTTGTTTTCATCTTATTTTCCTATTTGCAACCAGTGGTGACCCATTTAAGCCAATCTGGCCTGTTTTGTCTTCGTTTATTTCTTTCCTTTTTTTTTGTGTGTGTGCATTCAAACTATTGAAATATGTACATTTTCACAAATATTTTTACTGTAATTGGCAAATGGAATATTTTCTATTTAGATKATCTTTTTGGCAGTATCTTGTCATCACCAATTTCAAAATTATATTTGCTGAGACTTACTTTACATGTTAAAACTTTGTGAATGGCAGTTCATATTATTAGCAGAAAAGTAATTGGTACTGGTAAGCTAAAATTCTTTTATGAAAGTGTCTCTTCATTTGTGATATCTTCATAAGTGAGACCTTTATTATATGCTTATCTTGAAATAATTCCAACATGGAGTGATGGACTTGTACGATATGTAATAATCTTACGAAAATTATGGAATGAGAATTATTAAAATCACAAATAGAAAAACAAGATAAAAGAAAATTGTGAAAAAAAAATGCATGCCTGTATACCCCAGCCCACATTTCCAGATACATATATTTAGGCTACATAARTGTATATATATACTTAATAAGAGTAGAGTGTGTTTTGAAAAGTGCTGAGTGAAAATCTTGTGAAAATCTTTTCCATAAATCTAATATCACAGGGTCACAGAATGGTTGAGGTTGGAAGGGGCCTCTAGAGATCATCTAGTCCAACCCCCTCAGCAGTAGACTTTGTGATCTCAGACTTAGGACTAGGGCTAGGGTTAGAGCTAGGTTTAGGGTTGAGAGAGAGAGAAAGCCTAGAGCCTCATCAGGAAAGAGGTATGCCAAATGATAACRGGTTCAAATTGAAACATAGGAAATTTCATCTGCATACAAGAAAGAACTTCTTTACTATTAGGTGGTGGAACAGGCTGCCCAGAGAGGTTGTGGAGTCTCCTCGTTCTGACATGCTCAAATGTCCCTGTGTGTTGACCTGTGCAACATGCTCGGGGTGTCCCTGCTTGAACAGGGGGTTGGACTAGATGATCTCTAGAGGTCCCTTCCAACCTCAACCATTCTGTRATTCTGCTYATCTGTAACTGCCCTCTGAAAATAATCACATCATGGCTTGCCCACTGTTAATTTCAAAATGAAGTTATGCAGTACCGTCATACATGAACTAACTTCAGCTCTAGTTGGGGAAGATCTTGGAATCAGTACAAAGTGGATATTCCCATTCAGTTACCGTGGGGATGAGATATCCACTTGTAAATTTAGATTGAGATTGATGCTTCAGATAAGAAGATACTTAGCTTTCATAGTATTGTCTTTTTAAAAATGCATATATTTACATTCTTCAGACATTTAAATTTTAACAATAATTAATATGTCCAGAAATTAGTGGAGGTAGTGTGCTAATTTGGCTGGAAGGATACATTTTTGCATGTTATTACCCAGAATATAGTACAAAATACTRTAGCAGCACCAACTCTCATGCGACCCATTCACAAGGAAAAGAGTGATTAATAGGGGGAAGCAAAATAGCATGAGAAAAAAAGCACAGTGGACAACGTCAAAAGTTTGAGATTATGAGGAATTCCAAATTATCACACAAAAGGACTTTGCAAATATGAAAATTAGATTTTAAACTGTATGTTGTATTCRCTGTGAGAAGATGAGAAAATTAAGCTACTGGATTTATTATTTTATTACTAGTAGAAATTAAGTAAGAGAATAGTTCCTTTCAGTAACTCCTGAAATGGTGAAAGTTCAGATATTTGAGTGCTGTTGATTGCACACAGTAGGCAACCATGGAAAAAATTATTTCATTTTATCTTATTTTTAACATAAAATAGAAAGCAAAATGCATGTAGCTGAGATCTCCAGAATTTTGCCTGGGGAATATTGAAGATGCTCTGAGATAGCACTGTTTGTGTTGAGTGATTCTAACATTCTAACTGTACAAATCTATCCCTGTCTTGCAAATCCATGGGAGCTGAACTGGAAGGTAAAGAAAGAAAACAGTGAGAACTGCCAGTACATAACTAGAACATAGACACAAGCCAGAGAAACCCAGGAACACGCATAGAAACAGTCTGAGTAAAATTTCAAGCACTATGGTCCACCTGTATTATAAAAACAGCACAAAAGAGGAAGGAAAAATACCTGTCTAAGTGATAACCTGGCATGATATTGTAGCACTGTGAGGAAGAAAAAGGAACAAGGTGCAGGATACTTGCACTGAAAAGCATTGTAATGAAGGGAGTATTTTATAGTGATCCACTAGCAAGTCTGAAAGCTTTCAGATTATACATGCTATCTGAAAAGACTGCTAGAAGCTTATATTTCAGATATGAAATACCTGAAACTATGGTAGTAGATGAATGACTATCTTAAAAACTGGCTTACTGCTAAAGGTAAACTGCAACCCCAAACCAGCCTGAGCAATATTAAACTGAAAAATCATCACTGTGTATGAGCATTGTGCAGTTTTAGTGATTTGAAAGKCTGTTTGCCAGGGAGCAGGCTGTTGATTGAATGATCGACACAAGTGACATGAACATATTTCTGTGAGGAAGTCTTTCAGCCCGCAAGCATATTCGCACATTTTTGAAGAGCGCCTGGACAACCCTAGACAGAAGAAGGGAAAGGCAGAAGCTGTTGTTTAAAAGGAGTTTAGAGGTGGAATTGTTGATATCAGGAAAGAAAAATTGTGAGCGGTCACCAAGAGCAGCCATTGCACATGACTTGAAATGTTCCTGAAGCTGCAGCMTCTTTTGAGTATAATCCACTTACTAGCGAAAACCGTATCTAGCATTGTGARGAGTAGCTAAGAGAGTTTTTTTCATGATCTCAGATCTCTTCATAGAAGCAGCAGTTCCAGCTGAAGCAAAATACTTGTTTMACAAGTGGCATAAGCAAAGTTAGGTGAATCTTTCTTCTTTCTGTATAATTAGTTACTCTTTGAATACATAGGTATGTGGGACTGATGGCAGTCAATTTTAGGAAATCTCTATTTGAAATGGGCTTATGCTTTAATTTTGGTGAAAATAAGCACTCTTAAAATTACTTTTCTGTAACCATATTAAAATTAAGAAAATTCCTAGCTATAGAAAGCAAATTACATAAATGGAAAGACCATAATATGCAAAGTCAGAGATTTTGTACTGAAATGGAGTACAGAAAATAAAATAGTCTTTAAAAATAAAAGATAACACTTTATTTCCTAAGAGAAAATAAAGGATATATTTGTATTGCTTCAAAACCAGCCTCATAGGCAGTGAAGACAGTTTCTAACACAATTTGGATCTTGAAAATCATTTATTTGATGATACCATATGGACACCTGTTCAGTTATTTCAGCTTATAAATCAAACATCAGCATGAACACTCAGTTTTCAGAGCTATCAATRTTCAAATCCTCTACTCTAGCAGGCTTTCTTGCAGTTGACTTGCTCTGTCAAAGCTTATGCAGGTCCAAATAGGATCCACCCTAAGGTGAATTGGGGTTTTCACAAAGACAGTGAGTAATGAAGGATGACTACTGGTGAATATATCACTCCTACGCTGTAATTTGGAAAGCCAGCAGAATCATACCAGGACAAGACATCTTCCTGACAGATTTCATAACCAGCCTCTGTAGACTGATCACACAAAAGCAAGGGCCCTCCCTTAGGCCTGCCTACTGGTCTAGAACCAAAAACTGGCTTGCCAGCTTTCAAACAAAGCATTCTGTCTGGTTTCCTTGACAAGAATGTATAAAAATGTTGTACTTGCGTAAATAAGATTGTTACAAATCCCAGAGTGTATAGAAAAGCTGAACAGAATGTTCTGTGGTTGAGCTACCAATGTATTTTCACCTTCAAGGTGAACTTAASTAAAATTTTAGGTATGTTTATTAGGAAATGAAAATAAAGTATTGTACAAAGGTATAAATACAACATATTTGTATAATGAATTTTTCATCTAACATATATCATCTGCTTCTGCTTACCAAGAGTGGTAATTGAGAAAGAGATTTTTAGATGTGCCAAACCACTTCCATTTATAACAGTACTACATCGTGTACAGAAGGTGTAGAACAACTTTTGTGGAAGATAAATTCCACAGTATAAAGGATTCCAACCTCATCTGAATTGTTTTTGATTTGCGAGACTCATGTTTTTTTGACAGAGAATTRCAAACTTCCTTTACTGTCTTCTTCCTCATAAAACTTCCCAAAGAATGTGACTTGTTCTAATCATTGCTCTGTGCAATAGAATGTGCTATAACAGGCTATTGGTTTTTTATAAATGCAAATTTTAATTCAAATAGACTTTGCTCTTCTTCTGTGGTATCAAGGCAATGACAATGTCCCATTTTCTTGGAATATAATGCCTCTTTCACATACATGCGTGCATTGTTTCCTTCACTGATTTTGTGTTTGGTGTTCTGCTTGAAGAAACATTTTTTATACATATTATAGCCTGTATCAGTAGAGTAACTGGAGAAAAAGTCCTATGTATTTGAAATGTGTGAGGAAAAAAAACACAAATATTTTGACCTGTTTAATACGAGTAGATACATCTTTTCCAGATTGTGGTATTTTAAGAAGTACAATATTGTATCACTAACTTTCTGATTAAGATTAAGTTAGATTAAATATAATCTTTTTGGTTTAGACTCAGTTTTAATAACATGTATATGCCTACTCAGTCATATTCATTTTACTGTGTTCACATGCATCAACATAAAGATTGGTATAGCTAGAAAAGGAAAATGTTAAAAAAGAAAAAATTAAGATGATTATAAAAATAATCTCCTTTTCTAAGATGTATGTGCATCTTTCTCAAGATGCATGTATGTGTATCTTTCTAAAAGATATCATAACTGTAGGCTGTGTTTACATTATCTTTAGATATTGTACATTAATCAAAAAGTACACAGTCTCTTTAGCATACTGTGAGATATAGCTCATGAATCTAGCGATGAATACACAAGTCCTACTTCCTCTGTTTTACAGATATATAGAGAGTAATAACTGATAGAGTAGTATTTTCAGTGTGAAAGTGAGTTCTGAGTATAGGCTAGAATTTACAAAGATATTAAGATATGGTTTTGAAATTGCTTCTGGAACTGAAATGTCTCAGTTTCAATATAAAATTCTACATGTAAATCTCAAGTGGATTTTCACAGTCTTCTTAAAAATATGATTGTGTCTGCCTAGAAATATTTGTGCTCAGTGCTGAGGTTTTATATGGGATTCTTTAAGAACAGATGCTGCCTGCTGACAGCAATCACAGGAAACCTGTATGAACACATCATGTGTGCAGTGGCACAGAAACGTCATTAAAGATGCTCCTTTTCTTATGCTGCCTGAGTTCAACAGTTGTTCCACACATGCTAAGTATTGCACGAGAAACAATATGAGGATTAGCATGCTTTGCTTATAAATTTTAACAATTCATTATTTTAGTTTCAAAAATAATTATAAACATTGTTATAGGAAGACTAATTATTGTGTTTATTGTTTAGATGAATTCTGGTTCTCAGATGGGTCCTTATCTGATAAAGCCAAATTCAATGATCCTGGCCTGATGCCCCTGCCAGACACTGCCACAGGGCTAGACTGGTCCCACCTGGTAGATGCTGCACGAGCGTTTGAAGGTAACAGGAAAGCTTGAATAAAGATCACTGTTGCATTCAGAAACTTTTCTTTTTAATATATTCTGTAGCCACATTTTGAATTACCTAAATCCAGTGTTGGCCTCTGTAGCCCTTTAGTTCTTTTGGCTGTCTCACTTTTCAGTGGCAAAGTTTGTCAATGACAGTTTGGGGTGATAGAGTATCTATCTTAGCTGCAAGTCATGCACTCAGGAGCCTAAGTTCCCTCGATAATCTCTTGGAAAAATCAAGTGCTTTGAGGGAGCAATTCAAAGCTTACCTGAGTTAAGTACTTAAAAATGGGACTGCGAATAGCACTTCCCTGGATTTATTGTGTTAYGTTTATAAACTTTGAATGTATTGTCCAGAATGTATTGTCCGGTGTTGCTATCCCTCTCAGTTTTCAAAGTTCTCAAAAAGCACCAAAAATGCTATGTTTTCCAGTATTGGAATTCCAGGTGCAAGGCCAAGTTTATATTATACAATTATAAATCCAGGCTAACTAAAGAAAAAAAACTTATTTAGCTTTTCGACAGCTGAACTTASAAAACTTACATATACATACTTAATTTATAAACTGAGAGGGGTGGATATTTGTTTTAATTTGTATATATGGATCTCTACAGTTATATATTTAACTGTTTAGTTGTTTCTGTAAGATGTTTTGGTTAGATCATTGTGCTGTCCTAAAATCTCTGCCATTTGTTGATTGGCATTACTCTTATTAGTRAAGATATGAGAGGTCAAAGAGCATGAGAATAACGATAGTGATGTTTTCATAGTGATCATAAAATTATATAAGATGCAGGAATTACCTATATGAGGAAAGCTGTTGGTGGAGTTAGGGATGAGATGTTCTTGCATTTTTTTCCCAACTGGAAGCTACCATGGTAATCAGATTTCTAGTGTGATTTGAGTTCTTCTCAAAGTATGAAGTGATTAAATTTCAATTTGATAAAAAGCTGTTCAGATCACCTTACTAAAGTAATTTGGATGTCAATATTAACATTTCAAGAAACTAATGAGCAGTGATGATTAGCCATCTGAAGTAGTGTATTGTTTCTTAAACTGATTAACTTTATATTCATTAATCTCTGTTTGGTAGTACTTAAATATATCTGTTGAGCATGTAGCTGGTAGGAAGTACTGTGAAGCTCAAAGGTGGAGAACTGTTCCTGCATGTTTGCTAAATTGCTCAAGGAAAATTCTGATATTTGTTAACCACATCTAAAACATCTGAAAATAGATTTGGATCCTTATAAGACACACTTTGTAAGTTTGTATGTGAAGAATATTTTTAACTACTATATATAAAAACTTCTGCACTAGTTATGCTGCTATTTTCAAGATTTTTTTCTTAAAAACTTGTATATATTTTATTTCTTTTTACTTCTTGAATAGAATTAGAATAAAAATATTGAATCACTTTGAGGAACTTCTCTTTGGAAATCTTATATGAATATGATAAGTATTTGAATTTATGAGAGAGCTAGAAAAACATAGCTAAAAGCAGTGCCCTATTTTAGGGAGGAAGTATTTACCTGTTTCTTTTGATTCTTTTCTGTTTAGGACACTTCAATGGAGACATCCGTGCATATATTAGATAATTTATAAAATATTTTGACTAATACTTCATTCTGAATCTTTTGATTAGGAATCGTGTGTTTTTAACACATTTGGTCAGCTTTCTGCATACTATGTCTTACAATTAATTATTCTTTTTAAATTACTTTCYGATTGGCATATCATGAAAAATTCACTGGGTGGGAATGTGGCTTATGGGTTGCTTTTAAAATAATGGAATATGAATTGACAGATATTGTGTCTTTGTCTGTTTTAATACTGTCCTTTAAAACTGGGGAGTCACTTGAAGGTRGTTTTAAAAATAGCTTAGAACTACTGATCTGCTTTTATCAATGTGAGAAAGAGTGGCTGACCATAAGACCATATAATTAGRAATATAGAACTATTTCCACTTTCCTAATGAACTGGATATGAATGTGACCACTGGAAAAAACACTTTTACGCTGCATCAYTGGAAAAAAAGGAAGTATCCTAAAATAACAAAATAATCCCTGCAATTAAAAATGATTTAAGAATGGATAGGACTAACACTGAACTAATAAATTAATGATGGAGTTTTAGCAAGCTAGTATTTAAATTCTGTGCTCTTTGCTGGACCCTAGGCACAAAACATCATTCTGTGCCTCAAAAGAATTACCAAGTTGATTCCAGAGTCAGAATTTTTGCCCCTAGTCTCTCCAGCCTGCACACAGGCAACCCAAGCATTTTTATCAGTTCAAAATCCGTAAGGAAACATTGCTGTTTTCTTCTGCCTCTCTTGAAATGTGGTTGTACCCAGGGTTTAAATTAAATATATATATAAAATAATATATATACACACACTATATATGTTGTTACAATAATATTATTAGATTTTATAAATACCATTTATTTAGAGGTTTGTAGTGTTGGAGTTAGATGATTAGGAATTAAATACAGTTGCAAGACTTTTGCAGCCATCCTCTTGACCAAGAATTTACTCATAGATGAAACAAGAGGGATGTCATTTTTAGCTTTTTTTTTTTTTTTTAATCCATCTGGAGAGTCAGGAAAATTTTTCATTCAGCATCTCACTGAAGCCTTGCTCTTATGTAGAGCAAGTTTTTAAACTGTGAACGACCATGAAAGTGGACTGAGTGGCTCAGAAAAAGCTCAAGAAGCTGTGCTGACTTCTTTGCGTTACAAGTACCATGAGTTTGCTGCTTCTCACATTGTGAGCATTTCATTTTAAGTGCTTTTTTTCCCAGAATAGTTGCAAGGAGCTGAATGCTGACTTCCCCCTTTTCYTGAAAATCCTTTATTATTCATGAGATGGGTCTTCCCAGTGCAATGGAGGGATGTGCAAGGGTTGCTCCACTCTTGTGTGGAAGGTCTTGTGCCTGAGCTGTTTCAACTGAGGTTCAGTGTGTGTAAGCTGGCCTTGGGCAGTGTTGTTCAAGTCTTTGCACTGCCTTCCACTGCATGTCAGGCATCTGCCTCTACAGTGTCCACAGAGATCATCTTTACCATGCAATCGCACATGCAATCAACAGCAAGGGTTGCCCTTCCATTTCCTTCATGCGTGGAAGAGGTGGAGAGGGGATCTTATCAACACGTCCAAATCCTTGAGGAGAGAATGTAGGAAGGAAGGGGCCAAACTCTTCTCAGTGATGGCCAGCAATAGGACAAGGGGCAAGGGATGTAAGTTGAAACACAGGCAGTTCCATCTCCATGTGAGGAGGAACTTCTTCACTGTGAGGGTGCCAGAGCCCTGGCACAGGCTGCCCAGGGAGGCTGTGGAGTCTCCTTCTCTGGAGATCTTCCAAACCCGCCTGGATGCCGCCCTGTGCCCCRTGCTCTGGGTGTCCCTGCTGGAGCAGGGGGGTTGGACCAGATGATCTCTGGAGGTCCCTTCCAACCTCAGCCATTCTGTGATTCTGTGATAGGATATTCCAAGTGTCTTTATTTTTACTTTCACGTAGGCTATAGAGAGAAACGGGGAGCACTTGACRCACTCATTTGATGTGCAAATAGCTTGCATCCAGTCCTGAGACAAGCAGTAAAAAATAGGCAGAGATCTGGGTGCGCCTGCACAGCAGAAGAGAAGCAGCAGTGTTTGAGAAAGGGGAATTGGGGGCATAAGGAGAAGTTAATGAAACAAAGAGAGAAAACAACATGCTGAACTGAATAAACATAAAGATATGGAGATTTGTGGAATAAATTGGAGAGCAAATGAGAGCAGGGAGAACAAAGAAATTTCAGAAAATGATAAGAAAGAAGGAGACTTTTTTTTTTTTTTTTTTTTTTTTTAATTCTCATATTATTCTTCTCCTAGCTTTCCAACTTAGGAAAGAATGACAGGCTTTGAAGATGTGCGTTATGTTAAAGCTGTTAGTTAATTTTGGATCATGTAGAAAATTGGGGTGGGCAAAGAGAGAAGCCTCTCTAAATGTCCATAGCTGTTCCTAGTATTCTAGGATGAAAGGATTCACACAAATATTATAGATATATTTATATATTGTATAAAGATTATAAATAGATAATAATGTGGTTAAGAAAACTGTTAAGTAGCTTGTAAATTATATTGTGGGGATAAACAGCCTAAGAAAGTCCCTGTACTGTTCCAGTTTTGATTCATTAAATCAGGTGGTTTCAACCACTGAGGTATTTTTCCACATTATTTTTATGATTGTCTACTAGTCATGCCAGTCAGAATGCAACATTTCTTAATTCTAGTTTATCTTTGCAGAAACATCTGTGCTACTATAATTAATATGGTTTCAGCATTTCCACTTAAAATCTTCATAGCGTAATTCAAGTAATGCTACAGAAAACATAATGAGGAGGAAGTGAAGCATTCGACATAATAAATAATTATTTTTGCCAACTTAGTATGTTAAATTTCCAGAAAAAAATAAAAAATGAAAATATTTAGATAACCTTTGACCATTTCAAATGCATACCTGTGTGTCTCCTGTTTGCATCAGTGCAAAAGTCAGTATATGTGTGTGGGTACATTATGCCTTGATATCTTTCCTTGATACTTTATGTTGATACTGAAGAGGACTACCTTAAAAACCATACTTATTTTAGCATTTTCTGCTCTCTACTTCCTGAAAATTGCCAGGAGGTTTTTTGGCTTTTGTAGTAGCCTGAAACAGTGCAAAGCTAGGCTCAAATTCTGTATGGTTACAATTATACATGCTGTTGCCTTCAAGTGAGACAGATTGTGTTTCATCTTTGCGTCTTTCACAAGTCATCTGTTGCTTAAGCTTTTGATGACAACGCTAGTATATTTTCTCGGATAGTTTTCCATGCATGGTTCCTACCCGTAACTTGACAAGGGYGTTCTAGATGAAAAATAGAGCTATGAGATTATGTACTTTATTCTGTTGAGTTTGCACTTCATCAATAGAATTGAAGATGTCCTCATTTGCTCGAGAAAACAAGAGTGTATGGCTGTAATATCATAGTCRGAGACAGGATTTCTTTCAACACTTAACTATTAATGAAGGTAGTTGTGCTCCCACTTTCATGCATGGAGCGCAAAACCTATTCTGTTAAAGAACAAAAAAAACCCAAATCTGTAGGAAGATTTTGAAAATATTTTAAAATATTGTTTTTAAAAATTCATAATGCAGTTTCACTAATGACTGCATGTATCCCTTTATACACATGCTTTTAGTGGTCAAGGAAACATGGAAACATGCTTTCAAAGACTGCTAGGAAGAACAAACCCACAAAATATTTTCATAACTGGCAATTTCTTAACTGCAATGAGACAGACAAGTGACCATTCTCTTCAATTAAGCTTACTCAGCAGTAGGAGAAAAAAACAATATTTTTATATTGGAGTAAAATTGTCTCAGAGGCAGTATCATACATATATTATTGGCCATTAATGAAGTTATAACATTGAAAAAATAGCAGCAGCGCAATATTTGTTGCTTTCTTCTATCAAGGATAATGAAAAGCTGAACAAAATGTAAAAGTGAAACACATAATTAGATGTGTACATCAAACTTATGCCCAATGCCTTGGTCAGATGGATCGCTTATACAGTTTTGTTTCCTAAAGACTACTTTCAAGTTTTAACTTATTTTTGCTATGTAGATCTGTTCAAACTAAGGTGTTCCAGTTCTGGAGGTTATGTCATTGATTGTGAGTTTAAAATTATATTCTCACTTTGCTGTCAATATAAATGAAAAAATCATCTTTGTTTGAGGTCCAGTGCTAATCGGAAAAGGGATAAAATTAGGAAAAAATCACCCGTGATCTTTAAAAATGGATAAAAAATGGCATGCAAYTTAACTCTGTTATATAAAGAGTTGTCAGCCTTAAGTGATTATTTAAAAATACCTTTCAACAGCTCTTTAATGAATTATTTTCCTGTGTTTATTTGATTAAACCTTTCAAACAGAATTTTCTTCCCAGTTAAGGTGATCTGGCTTGCAGTCACTTTTTTGAGGAGGGTGCTTAGAGTCCAAAGGAGGGAGGAATGTCCATTTATGTGTTGTGCCAGGCTGTCGTGCTGTGTGTTACCATATTGGGTATGGGAAACACGGGGCACAAAATCTCCTACTTTGCTGTGATGCTGCTGTTGTWTAAAAATGGTTTTGAAAGGTTGAGGGTGACAGGCAGCACGAGCTGCACCGGGAGCGCCCCGTGTGCGAACCTAACGTCGGGCCACAGCTGCCTTAGAGGAGATGGTCAACCTTGTTCATAGGAACATTCTAAATCTTATTCCAGGTTTTGACTCAGATGAAGAACTTGGGCCGCTCTGTCATTACACGCCGTTTCTAGGTGACGATCTGGGCTTGATGACTTTTACCTTTTGTACTTTCTTTCATATTTGCTATGTTTGCACGTTTGCATGGTAATGCAAGCTTTGGGCCTGCGGGGTGGCAGAGCAGGGGAGAAAGGGCAAGGCAGGCATGTTGTGGCCAGAATTTATATAAAACCGATAGGCATGGGTTTTGTTGACAGAAATCAGTTAAATTAGTCTCCGCAGAACACGGGGTATTTACAGAAGAAAATGTAAATAGTAATGGATGCATCGTTTACTCCTGTTGCGTGCAATGATGATCTGCATGGCATAGTTTTATTATGTTGTGATTGGTGTATTTTGGCAACTGCACTGTCTATCTATGGGTAATAGTATTTTTGCTTGTTAGACTATGTTCCAGTGAAATGCGACATACAGAATGGTGTGTCCTAGTAAAACATATGACAAAAACTCAATTGATAAAAAGAGCCTTAATTTATTGCTTTTCAAGTATGCAGATTACCAGGAGGTTCTGCAAATGCTTGAGACAGTAAAACAGTATAAACTGGGCAGTGTACATTCCTGAGGAATCTTAATGGTTTTGAATCCATGGAAATGCAAACCTTTTGCTGAATTGTTATTGTCACTGGTGGTGGCCCTGAATTCTCAAAAGATTTTCTGTGGATTTCATCAAGACCAAATTACTGTTTAAATCAGCACTAAGTGGTCCTAATAAATTTGTATTGCTCTGCTGATCCATGCAAAACAATAGGCTTTGAGGTTGTCTTTGGATGCAGATGTTGGGAAACCAACTAACTGGAATATACTTTATATCTGCTGCTTATCTTCAAAGCAGTGATGGAGAAACTTTCTCTAATTGTGCCTAGAAAGCTACAACCATATAGGCTTTGATTTGGTATATATGTCCCTATTTACACATGGCTTTACATCACTTTTTTTTTTACAGATCAGAGAGTAGCATCTTTTTGCACCCTGAGCGATATGCAGCAAGTGCAGGATTTGGAGGGAGCACAAGAGTTACAATTGGATGAGAGTCCCCCAGATGGAAAAGATTTCCTCGAGGCTGCTGGGTATGTCACAGTTAGAGCAAATTTCTTTCAGTTCAGCAGGTGCTAGTGGTGTATCTACTGAACTTCGGCAGCTGCTCCAGGAGATAACATGATTTCATGTTCAAGCAAAAGTTGAAGCTACTTGCCAGTCCATAATTTTCTGTTTATACAAAAAGAAATGAATCAAGAAAACTTGTAATTGAGGCTGAAGAAGACTTCTAGTGTCATAACTATCCTAATTTCTCACACCCACTGCTCCAGCAAAGAATTAGATTATACTTTTTTTTCTCCCTTGTCGTTTCTGCCATGGAGAATATACTTGTTTGGAAAATAGAGATTCAACAGTAGAATTTGTCCATTAATAGTAGAATGTAAAAGAAAAACACGACTTTGATTAGCATTGCTTTTCAGCAGCAGGACTAGAAGAAAAGGAAATGGAGGAAAAATAAAGCTTTTAGTCTTCATGCTTGTTAGTCTATCACATTTTAATTTGAGCCAATTTTACACAATTTAACTTACATAGTAAAGAATATTTCTTTTAATGACTTCTAAGACCACATCTTTCTACTAGCTATAAGTAGTAAGAATTGCAAAAGGCTGTTAAACGTGTTCCACTTCTAACATGGGCAAATCTCTCCAATTTGCACACTTGCACAAAACAGCTGATTCAGCTTTGTGCGTAACTACATACTCTCTCTTCTAGCCAAAATAATTCACATTATGTCTAATTTCACCTATAACATGTATGAAGCACTCCCAGAGTGCTTATTGTCACACAGAAAGAGCAACTCTTCTCAGTATTTTCTTTCAGTCATGCATTTGATTAACCCGAGGCAATATTTCATGTGGCTTGACCTTTAAACAAAATATTTGTCTTYATAAAGTCATAGGTTTATCTTTTAGTGGAAATGGCACAAACACAGACTAGACAAAAGAATTCTAACAGCTCTTCTGATTTACAGTAACTGCTGCTGCAGCTTGCCTCAAATGACTGCAGCCCTTATCAGAAAGTAGCTTGTTAACCAATGCACTGAACACACCATTTAGCAGAGGGTTTGACTTGCTCTGTGAAAGTATGTGCACATGATTCCTAAAACATTCCTCCTTAAATCAATGGTAATTTCACCCTGATGAGCATGAGAGGCACTATCAAATTTTGGGTACTGCAGCAATGGCTTATGCCATTTCTTCAGTAATAGCCTTCCACTGTTAGTGTTTTTATCCGTATTTTCCCAACTATACCTAAATGATTCTGCAAACCTTGGCAGGGGGAATGTTTTTAACTCGCACAGAGTAATGTAGTCATTTATTTTACAGGGAACATGCTCCCACTACGCTGACTGGAAAAGTGAACCAGCTAGAGGTGATCCTCCGGCAGCTACAAACTGACCTGAGAAAGGTAAAAAAAAAAAAAAAAAAAAAAAAAAACATTAGCAGTGTCATTATTCTCCAGTTTTAATAGCTATGTTTCTATGCAGAGTTCATCAAAAGTTTGAAAAAATCCATCAGTTAAACTAGATAACATGAGGAGGATGAATGAATTGTAGAGTACAGTGATTGAGGCACAAAAGGTCCATGGAAATGGTTGTGTGAACAAGTTGCTGCATTAACTACTCCAGAATAGCTAGGCCACGTGTAGTCATAWCCCAGAGTGAACATGAGGTACTTTATCTCCATTTCACCTGTGGTATCTTGGATTTAACAATGGGTAGGAATATGCACATAGGCACTATTGCTAAGTAGTTAACATCAGATTTATCATTCATGTTGTCTTGTGGTGAATGATCTGGGTGAAGGACAGAATGCTCCCTCAGCAAGTTTGCTGATSATACCAAACCGGGAGGACTGGTTGATACTTCAGAGGGCTGTGCTGCCATTCAGAGGGACCTCAGCAGGCTGCAGAGGTGGGCAGAGAGTAACCCAAGAAGTTCAGTAAAGGGAAGTGCAGGGTCCTGCACCTAGGGAGGAATAACCCCTTGAGCCAGTACAGGCTGGGGGCTGAGCAGCTGGAAAGCAGCTCTGCGGAGAAGGACCTGGAAGGCCCAACRGACAACAAGTTGCTGTAAGTCAGCAGGGTACTGTTGTGGCCAGGAAGGCCAGTGGTATCCTGGGGTGCATTGGAAAGAGCATTACCAGCAGGTCAAGGGAGGTGATCCTGCCCCTCTACTCAGCCATGGTGAGGCCGAAGCCAAGTACTGTGTCCAGTTCTGGGCTCCCCACTACAAGATGCACATGGAGCTATTGTAGTGAGCCCAGTGGAGGGCTACCAAGACTAAGAACATCTCACCTATGAGGAAAGGCTGAGAGAACTTGGACTGTTCAGCCTCTGAAGAGAAGACTGAGGGTGGATCACATCAGTGTGTAGTTTCTGAAGGGGGGCGTGTAGAAATGATGAGCCCAGACTCTTTTCAGCAGTGCCCAGCAGAAGGGCACCAATGATCTCCAAATGATCTCCAGAGGTTCATTTCAGCCACAGCCATTCTGAGAGACTTGTGCCTCATTTGCTGTCTAATGTCTGAGCTGGAAACAGTACCAGGACTGCTAAAAGAGATAAAGTTTGGTAAGAAAATAGTCATGTAAGGGAAATTTCTGAAACCAGCTCTGTTACTTACTATATGATTGAAATCAAATCCTTATGTTTTGACCTGTTAGGTGTCACTGGTGATACCTGAGAGCTTCTTATTCTTCTAGTGCTTGAGTCTTTTGTTTAATGAACTTCCAAAATTCTTGTACTGAAGTAGAATCTAGATTTCTTTTTAGATTTTTTTTCCTCCTCAAAACAACATCGTAGCACATTTTGGGATTACAGTTAGTAGCTGTAATGATGGATTAGGGAGCTGAACAAATTAYAGCTGTATGACTTGCACAGAAATATTAGCAACAAAAATAAATGTTGTCATTATGGCTGCTCACTTGATTCAACTTAACCTTTCATTAACCAGGAAAAACAGGACAAAGCAGTTCTCCAAGCAGAGGTGCAGCATCTGAGACAAGATAACATGAGACTGCAAGAGGAGTCTCAAACAGCAGCTGCTCAACTGAGGAAATTTACAGAATGGTTTTTCAATACGATAGACAAAAAATCTTAATGTTTGGGCCATTTGAAAATCCTTACTTCAACAGTACAACGGCTGTATTTTTGRATTAGCGGGGTAATAATTTCACTGTGTTCACAATCCATTTTAGGTGTTTCTGCTAAATTCTCTATCCAGCTTTATTCATTTGAACAGGAGAGAGAACTGTGGTCATCTGTCTTTAGATTCCTATGAAGAAAGCAGAGAATAGCAGATGTTTGTTTGTGTGAAGATGAATGTAAAAATTATTGGTGTCATTTTAGACATTTTTAGAAGATGCTCTGGCTGGGGCTTGCCTGAAGAGGAATATTTGGGGGGTTAGTTCCTGCATTTCAGGTGCATTGGTGAAATGTTAAAGCAATTTACATTAGCTTGGGCTTCAGTATTGTAAGATAAAAAGAATAACCAGACATATACTTTAATGTTTAAAAGGTGCTCTATTTTTTTGTATGTACAGTAGTTTTATTTCCACAGTCCACATYGTCATAGCAATAAGAATGGAGGTATAGTGAATAGTCACAAAGCTGTGTTTATAAAATGTTAGCACTGATGTGTTTAACACTAGTTTGGATGCAGATACATTAGAGATTATTTATTTGCAGGAACAAATGGTGCCTGAATATAAACAGTGTCCTGATTTTCTAAAGATGCATATGCCTTGTAAATGGCTCACAGGGGTTAGCCTGCTCTCAACTTCAGTTACTTTTGTATAGTTGATGTTCAGCTAAAACAGTTACACTGCTTAACTATTGGAAAACATGTATGGTGTGAGCCAGCCGATCAGTTGTACAATGCCAAATTTGTTTATCTTTGTACAGAAGCTTTGATTAAGTGTCTTGTATTTAACACCTTTATTTAAGCTTATTTAACCTTAAATTGTTAATTTTATAAAGTTTGTTTTATCTGCACTATGGTGAGGTCAGTTGGTTGCAAGTTGTAATATTTTTAGCTTGCCAAGACTGTACTGAGGAGTTCTAGGAAATTCTAACAATTGGATGCTGCTAGTACACAACGGATTTGTTTGTATGCTTTAACATTTTTAACTGTTTAATTTGAAATGAACATACATCCTGCTTTTTTAATAAATGTTAAAAATATAAATCTGAAAATTAACTTTATCCTGTGTTTCTGGCRTCAGTTCCCTCACTGCCCGCTCGGTTTCTGCTCAGCGCGCTGGGAGGATGCCCTGCCCCTGGGCTCCCTCTTAGCCAGCACCTGGGGCCAGGGAGAGTCCGGCCCTAGAGAGCTCCCTGGAGAGCTCCCGGGCTCCCTTGTTCCCGTTATCAGAGCCGGGCTCTGAGAGGTCTCTGTCCTGTGGTGCAGGAGGAGGCTTTTGCCCCCTGCCCCACAATGCTGCCATCTCGAGTGTTCACAGGCTCGAGTGCTTGCCTAGGAGAACACTGCTTTACTCAAAAATATGTAGTATTTTACCGAAGGAAAACGTTCTCAAAAGGTAGCAGATTTTCTCTTATTATTTTAAATKCATCGTTAACAGCAAATAGCTCGCCATCCACTTGCCCAAATCAAGGATATGTTTGCAGTGTTAGTTTCTGTGAGATGCAGAATAGCAGGTTGAAAATAGCTTCGACTACACTATATTCCTTTTGGTTTGCTATAATTTCATATATAGCGATGTAGTTAAAATCTATGCCAAAAAGTTTAGTTTTTACAAGATGAACTAATGAGCACCTTTAAAGTTATGCTTCCAAAAGAAAAAATAATTAAAGATCATGGCCACATCTCAGTTTCCTTTCAGTAGCTGAATGCATTCTGGCAAAGCTAGAGAAAATCATAAAATATTTTAGAAATATATTCTGTTGACACAAATAATAGTCTGTATCCATTGTTACTATATATTGGCTAAGAAACATTTTTGTAAGTTGAACAAATTTCTGCTTCTGCTGTGGTAATTAGTTTGAATGACTTCTCTTAGGAATGGTCATAAGTAAGCAGGGAATTAAGGCTTTGGTATGTTTTTTTCCAGATGAAGAAGACTATTTGGTCTTTGTACTTTTCATCAAAAACTCTTGATGCCTAAATACCATATAATGTCCATTAAGCTATATTAACTTAGAGTAATTAAACATGGCAGTCAAGTGTTCCACTAAAATCAGATTTGAACACCTTGCAGCAGTCATTAGCAAACCCATCTGGCTGGAGACCTTGCCAAATAGCAAGTGCTGAGCAACCTGCACAATTTGTCTGTGAATGCGTCTTTGAGGATAGGTTTATTCTCTCTGAAAAGCTGTACTAACTGAAATAAACTCGTTAACAAGCTTTTTCTGAAGGGATGCTATTGCGTTTGTATTAGCATTTATTAGTACAATGCTTATTTCCTTATTAGTCTCTTTCAGTAATTGAAAATACATTATAGTTAGCTATGCAGAAGGATTTTCAGTATCTCTTTCTCGTTTTCCCGTCACATATTTGAAATATTTTGTTTTCAAATGTAATATAAAGCTTTGTCTGGAATATCTTAGTCCCTTGGGTGAGCAGCTGCTCACTAAAGCAGTTTTGGTGGGGCCAGGTGGTTCTTCYCTAGGTGACTTTTACCTAGGGGAAGGAGTTTTTAGTTTGGACTGTTATTGTTTTTAAGACATGTGAATACAGTATTTATCAGAGACCATAATTGGATTTGACATGGGTAATGTGCATTTTGTTGTGCACTTTTGTTATCTGATTTTTTTAAATACTCCGAGCAACTTAYTGCTAACAAAAACGTCCCTTTTAGTCAAGCATAGGCAGAGGCTGACTGCTTTGGCAACTAATGTGGATCAGGAGAACAATTTAACGTTGAAGACCCAGTTTTGGGGAGTGGGAGGACTTCTTTCAGACATTCTTGTCCAGGCCTGTGACTGAAAAGCCTTTAGTGGTTCGAGTAGTTTATTAGGTGGGATCTGGTTTAATTTCATCCAAAAAGAATCTGGGCTTTGGACTCCAGCGCCAATCCACAGTATCAACCAAAGCACAGTAAGTGGGGATGACTTGAAATTGGCTTCCAAGATGTGTTCCTGATCTGACCTGAAACAGTTATGGACATATTCTAAACATCAGCRAAGCCCCTGCAGCACAGCAGGCCATGCTGTGAAGCACTGAGATGCAGAAACTGAACACGTGAGCCAACTCAAGGAGTTATTTGTGTAAAAGAGTTTTACTTCTGTAAAAGTACAAGTTGTGATAAAATCACAAAATGTCCTGCCTTAGAAGTCCGACCCTTAATTTCCATGCAGATCCTTACTGAAATGTGTTGTGGACATTTCTCACTATGTGGACCATACTTTAGTAAATGACTTGTTTTCCAAGGCTGCTATTACCAGGATCAGAGATATTTTTTGGTGTTTTTCTATCTTTGAGAGCATAATCACATTGTAGATGCCTATTGGTAAGCACGTAATAGCTTTATACAGAAACTTTTTACATCATCTGTGCTTTATTTAACAGAAATTCCCAAATCGATTCTTCATTGTTTTGTGCCCCAAAACAAGTTGTTTGGGGAAAAAAAATACTTGAAGTATTTGTAATCCAAACAAATGAGGTTGTTGTAGGGCAATTGCTTAGAAAGCGATTTTTGCTCTGAAAAAAAAAAAAAAAAAAGCATTGTTAAATGCATTAGGTTATTATGCCAGCATTTTTTGAGCACCATGCTATAATTTTCGTTCTAACATCTGAGAAACTCAGTGCAACACAGGAGCTGGTGTCTTTATTATTTGAAAGCATCAGATACATCCAAGTATTGCTAAACAAGCTGTTCTTTACTCCAGCTTCTGTCTTTCACTGTAAAAACTAGCAGGAGAGAGAATGGCTTGTCACTCAGAAGCACCATTTTGCAGACAAAAACTCRCTTCTGCATGTTTGGGAGCAGGTTAGGCAGAATGAGAGGGAAATACATAATTTCGCAACCCTGGAAAGACTTTGGCAGGAAAGTCAGTCAATCTTTGCTCTGTTCTCAATTGCACGCAGGTTGTGTTTTTCATTCTGTTCCTCCTGAAACACACTTCCTCGGAGTGAGAATAAAATTCTACCCCCACCCCTTGTTTCCTAGCTTTTCTCTTGGTGAGAATCCAAGCACAGGAACCAGAAGGAAAACTAGATAAACTCCTTTTTTCAGTASGGACTTCAGAATGGCCCCTACTGAAAGCTGCTTCACTTATATTTGGAATGACTTCACTTTGTGGTCAGTACAATTTTTTTAAGTGTATGACTGTCTTTTTTTCTTTCCTATGCATTGTCCTGTTTTCAAGCTTAAAGAGGAACTTCAAAGTTGCTCAGCACTTAAACAAATCAAACTCTGTTTATTCAAATACTGATATATGAGCGGAGGACCTAAACAGAGGTATTAATTGGTATAAAAATGTGTTCAGCATTCTTTCAGTCAGCATACAGGCGTGAGCTAACTCTGTTTTCAGTGAGGGAAATGCCTTTCTGCCCATTTCACCCAGTTCATCCGCTTTGGCTTGGACAATGAGGAATGAGGCTGCTGTCATTCAAAGGCAAAAGCAAACACTGAGCACATTCATGTGTATTTTGATGTCATATAGTCACGAGAAGCTGTGTAGCACAGAGACTGAAATACTCCAAATGGCATTGACTCCAGTGGCAATGACCACTGGCTTGGGCCGTGTTTTGTGGGCCTGTATATACTGGGTGACTGATTTCTTTRAACATGTCGGGATATCCAGTTCCCCTGCTACATCCAATTCCTGGATTGTAAATCAGGATTAATGTCACTGAAATTACTGAAGACAGTGAAACTGGCGCAAGTGAAAAAGAATCAGTCTCTGTGTGGAATGGTGAATTATATCCAAACCCTGCCGCATAATGAGGTCAAATAATGAGGTCAAAAACACGATATGAAAATAAAATTGAAGTCTGTCTTTATTAGACATGACCTCGGTAGTCCACATTTTGTTGGATCATTGATTTCTCATATTAATATGGTTTAAAGTTCTTGCTAAGCACTGAAGAATGTTTTTTCAACAGAACTGTATCTATTAAATGAGTCATTTGCTCTTTAAAACGAGATAGCTTCAGAGCACAGCATGCAATAAGCCTCCTAACGTCTTGCCAATTGTCCGGTAAGACTGTTGATATTTATACCGAGCATCTTTAAAGGGATTCTGACAAGAGAGTTTCATCATCTCTAAATAGCCTTATTAAGGTTCATGCATAAAATCCTCTTGGGAACTTGAAGTGTGAATTCTTGCTAAGAGGGTGTATAGGTACCTTCCTTTCAAGTCCATCCTAATTTGATATTGCTGAGCAACCCAATATAGTTTAGCCGCTGCTATTTTATTATTATTATTATTTWAAAAAATGAAACAGAAATAGAAGAGACATTGAAAGAAAGCTAAGCATAGAAAGTGAAATCAGTTTGCAGAATAACACAGATGAGCATTCATTTTGAACAGTTTATGATATCACACTAATGTCTTAATAATCCTCAAAGGGAGAAAAAGGGAGAAATAACTAGGCTTGCATATTTAACAGGCCAGTGATAATTCCTGAATGCACCACATGTTCTCCCAAGCCATGCAGGCACAAACCACATTAAATGAGTAAATGAGTAACAATATGGTACTAATGACTTGTCCACATGCTTCAGAAAAAAATAATATCACAAATTCCCTGCATAATTCCTCAACTTTTCAGCTCAAGGAAAGTTTTCAGAAATAGCCAAGCTGCATTATTTTAAGTGATGTGGAAATGCACACTTCTTTTTAATGGTATAAAGATCCTGAACCCCTTAGCCAGAGTCATGAATGAGAATTAGATTGCTAAGCTCTTCTGACAGGATCCTAAGATGATCAGAGCTTAGCGGCAGATATTCCTACACTCTTTTCTTGAAGGAAGTGTGCCTGAAATATCAAAAGGGCTTTCAGTCTCTGATGGGGGATTTAATTAGAGTACAGATAAGAGCAAGGTAAATTCTGACAAAGATCCTCTGATCCTCGAAGGGACGGAGATTTCCTCAGTGTTCAAAAATAAATCCTCGCTCCCTGCCTATAAAGCCTTTTTATTTTTTCCTCTCTTACTTGT